TAGTACTTCATACTTTTACTTTAAAAATACATCAACTAAAAAAATATGCCAACTGCACTCTAAATAATGAATAGCTTCGAGAATCTAAATATGTTACCTGTTAAGAAATTCGCAAAACTAACACAACCGTTAACGACGTCTGCCCTCTCACGCGTCTGCCCGCGTTCGGATCGCATTCTCGGCGATGGCGCTTCTTTGCTTAGACCACCCCTCTACCCCCGCGTCTTACACTAGACGCGACGCGTAATGGTTTACTGCGTTGAGTCAAGTTAATCATATCGTCATAACTTCCAACTTACATAATACCTATCGTTATATCACGACCAAAATTACACAAAACCTTTGTAAATTATAGCCTATATGTTATTCTAATATATGAGCTAAATCTGTTCAGTCATTTTCGGATTGAAAAGCCACAAACATACATTTCATGAAGGCTACAATATTTTATGCATAACAATCTGAAAAATACACATTGAATGAAAGAGGTCTAAGAATGGAACCTTGAGGAACTCCACAACTTTTATTCGAAACTGCAGATATGAAGTGATCAGAGCTGACACACTTGAGTTCGATGTTCTATGAAGATTTTAGTAAGATCTACGTCACATTTATCAAAAACTGAAGTAGGTACTAGATCGTCCAAAAGTTTTGTCCGTTTCAATTCCATGTGTTTTTGTAGCTCTATATCTCAATAAATATTGATTCTAGTGATTCACAGATGGATCAAAAACACTTTCCAGTTCTGGTGCAGGTGTTTTCAGTCGTAGACCCAGGACGGAGGTATCAACCTGCCTAGGAACCTATGCGTTGGTAGCTCTTGGCTCCTACCGACAATGTCTAAATTGGTAGCAAATTGCCAAAAGCGACTCTTCTGGATAGGAAGACTTAACAGATTGTATCTGGTCTCGATTCCTGACCATGAGAGTTCTGACTCCCTTGCAGGTCACTGTCATTTCAATAATCATATGCAGAGACTCGGACTTTTGGAAGACAGTGTGTGTCGCCTCTGTTTGGAAAATGATGAAACACCAGAGCACATACTTTGTGCCTGCCCCGCTGGGGGCAGACATTTTATTTGTCTTGGCTCTCTTGGAACATCATTGAAGTCCCAATGGACATCAACATGTCATTCCACAATTCCTGTGTGATGATCATGTGACGGTTTTATGGTAAAAATTCAGCAATTTTGGAACTTCGCTGCCACACGCTTCATGTTTAGAATTTTCGAAAAAATAGCATGAGCTACCCGATATGCCGACATCCTCAACACTCTCTAATAGTGTTCACGTACTCATTTATCCAGAAATAGGCCTCATCGCTGAAGATGAAATAAGGGTCAGTTGTCAACTGCTCCAGAACCCATTCAGCGGACACACGTTGTTCTCTATAGTCGTTTATCTTCTAGTCCGGTCAAATTAGACTAAAAAATAAGAGTGAAGGTACATACATTTACAACAAGCTGCAAATGCGTGTAATTGTTCAAAACATAGTTAAAAATAAAATTTTGAAGTTCCGAATGATTGTGATGCCTAGAAAAAAATGTATTCGAAGTCAAAGGTCAAGAATATCGAAAAAAATTGGTTTTTTGCGATTTTTAAGAAAACGGCAAGTTTTATCATAAAATAACCTCAAATGAAAATTGTAGATCATAAAATTCTCTACAAAAAATGTATCAATACTTTTTTCTCTTAGAGCCGCCGTTTCTGAGATACGACGAGTCAAAAAGTTGTAATCGTCATAATATGCATAAGTATGCCACATATATACATCTCTGAAGTTGTAATTTAAGTAAAAATATTTTTCTATTGGTATACATAAGTATAAGTATAAGAATATCAGATAGAATGAAATCCAGTCCCTTAATTTGTACGCTGTAACCTTGAGCCTTGGTGAATATGTAGACTTACTCGTACTTCTTTCTGCTCTAACTCCACCTGAAAAAACTATTTTCTTTCTAAAGCCAGGAAAAGCTCAAAGTCAAACCGAAATATATTCGTCAAAAAGTTTATCTACATGTGGATTCGTTTTCCGATGGCATTTCAGGTTAGCTTCCCAAATTTCTGCNTTATTTCTATTATTTTATTGTTGACATGTAACTGTACAACATTAAAATCTGGTAAACCATTTTCATAACAACTAAATGGAACAAAGCACGTTTTTGAGTAATTAACAGTTAATAAATTATAATCAAACCAGTCTATAATGTGAATAAAATCTTGATTAATTTTTTGTTGTAGGTCAGCCCATGACTCACTCTGATAAAAAACAGCCGTGTCATCTGCAAAACTAATAATGGAACCTTCAGTATTCAAGGTAAGTAAATGATTAATATAAATGGTGAACAGAGTAGGCCCTAGAACCGTACCTTGCGGCACACCATATGTTATTAAATTTTCTTCACTTAATTTATCATTTATTTTGACTTTTTGCTTTCTTCCAGCTAAATAGCTTACCATCAAATTATAAACACTGCCCCTGAAACCTAAATCCCGTAAAGTTTCCAACATCCTATTATGAGACACTGTGTCAAATGCCTTTGCAACATCCATTGAATTTTCAAAACGTGATTTCATTATTGAAAATAAGTTTCCAACGCTTTTTTTGTAAAATTACTATAGAAAGTTCAAACAGTGTGAAGTTAGTAGCGCACCTATGATTCAGTATTTACATTGTTGCCACGGTGTGGCAGAACGAATAATTATTGATCCGTGTGTAAATTTGCGAGACCTAAATGCGATGGGACAAAAATAGGGTATACAGGTTTTTACCCATAAGAAAAGCTCTCCTTCGGTTCACCGTCGCGGAAAAGACCGAGCGGCGGCATCACCCTATAAGCGTAATTTTAATCATCGGAGCGGCAGCAGCAGCACCAGCGATATTAAAGAGCGAACTCACGCGACAAGCGAAGGAGGAAAAACAGGTGGCCCTCGACGCGCCGACGGCCGTATAGACGTATTGAGCCAGTAGCGTTCGGTACCTCGCGAGTTCGGGCTGCCCACACCAACCCCCCGAACGGGGTGGCATGGATGGAGAGAGAGAGAGAGTGCGCGGCGTAAAAATGGAGAGAGAGACGTACGGGCGCCGACAAAAATATTTACATACGTACGCGTATACGGAGGAGGTCGAATTGTGTCGACCTCGGCGCTTTTCTTCGAATTCAAAATAGTCCGCTTTTCAGTTAGACGTTTCGAGAGAGTTACTGAAGAAGGTTTTCCAATACTGTGAGAAAGTTAAAAATTCCCACGTCCCTCTTTCATCTCTTTGACGGGAATTGTCGAAAAAATCAATAAATATAGTTGCCTTCTAGGGCGATACAACGATTACAGCGGTCATAAAATTTTTCGATACCATTTTAATAGTACGATTTGTCTTTAGCCTCAGAATAGGCCGCAGCCCCGACGATTGCCTTTTTGTCGGCGCTAAATTTCTCTCCAGCTAGCACTCTCTTGAGATCTGAGAACGGAAAAAGTCGCTGGGGAGCAAATCTGGAGAATACAGTGGACTTAGGAGCAATTCTAAACCCAATTCATCGTTTCCATTGATTTGTTGCACGGTGCAAAGGGGCCGTTTTCCGCGAATTCGTCCTTCAACCGTTCCAATGACGATATGTAATAGTCGCTGTTGATGGTTTTTCCGTTTTCAAGATAGTCAATGAATATAAAACCGTGCGCATCCCAAATTACTGATACCATAACCTTGCCAGCTGACTGTTGGGTCTTTGCACTCTTTGGAGTCGTCTCACCAAGTGCAGTCCACTCAGATGACGATCGTTTTGATCCTGGTGTGGAATGATGGAGCCATGTTTCGTCCATTGTCACATATCGACTCATAAATTCGGGTTTTTTACGGAGGAACAGCTTTGAACACTGCTCAGAATCAGCAATCGTTGTTGTTTTTAGTCGATTGTCAGCTCGCGCGGCACCCACTTTGAACAGAGCTTCTGCAAACCCAAATATTCATGCACGATATATCCAACACGTTCCTTTAATAGTTTTAGAGCCTCAGCTATCTCGATCAACTTCACTTTGCGGTCATCCAAAGTTATTTTGTTGACTATTTGATGTTTTCGTCGGTAAGAGCCTCTTTTAGGCGTCCACTGCTCGCATGAACTGTCAGGAGGTTCAAGAAGAATATTTGTTAGAATGCTTTTTTGTTTATATTATAAATGAACATTCAAACAGTCTTACTAACAAAATTCCCAGTCCCAAATCCAAACATGAATCCGTAACCCGTTATCAAAATTCATTGTATACAAAATTGAAATACCTTTCATACGAATTGTCACAAGACCCCCTGTTCTATTTGAAAAAAAAGGATAACGACCTCTCTGCGGCAAGTGATGTCACACTATCAGGCCTTTTCAAAAATACCACATACTTGACTTTTTTGTTAACAATTGGCTAAAAATCTAATAAAAACTGTAAGCAAGTGTAGATATCCAAAACAATTTTTCCAAACTTGATAAGAACATATGCTTAATACAGTCCACATACGGTAGAGAAAAAGAACCCAGGTAAAGGTATGGATTTTTTTTTCAGAATAGTTGATTAAGAAAGTGACGAGATGTCCCTCAGACAATGCATTTGCAATTTGAAACAAATGATGTGAACCGTCCCAAACCTAGTGATAAAACAAAATAAGATATGACGTGAAAGCACTTCATCAAGTTTCTGCCGACTATTTCAGCAGAGACTTTGGCAAGGATCCTATGCAGTCAAAAAATGAAACGTACAACTAAAACGTATGACGTAGGATGAGTCTTCTGCTGCGCCTTAAGGAAGCAAAGACCGTAAAAAAAGAGAAGAAGAAGAAATTCACAACAAGGACTGCTTAAAGTAGGATACTTCATCTCCTGAAGGCGTCAACTTGGTATGTGAAATGCGCGTCGAAAACATCAAACCCACCCAAAAACGTAACAACATTATTTAAATACTTTGTTCTGATGAAATGTATAGTTTCATCCAAGAACTCTAAGTAAAAAAATAGATTGTACTCACCCTTGATCAACTTGCATGGGCCCGCCCATTTGACGAGACATCATCGGATGGCCGGGTTCCATGGGCCCGGACATCGGATGACCGGGCCCCGGCCCAAAAGGTGATCCCGGCGGCATGCCGAAGCCCGGCCCCGGTCCGAAATGCTGGAAGTGGTTGCCGGCCGGCCCCGGGCCGCCCACGAATGGTGGTCCCGACGACCCGGGTCGTCCGAAGGGCGGCCCGCCAGCGGACGGCGAACCGAACGGGCCTCCAGGTCCTGGTCCATTGTAAGGGGGTCCCGCACTATTCGGAGGGGGAGGGAAACCAGCGTTGGGGGGCGGTCCGGGGCCGGGGGTGGAGGAACCAGACGGCGCCGGCGAGGCGGTGTACTGGGGCGTCGTCGATCCTGGAGGAGGACCCCCCTGGTAGGGAGGGGCGCCAGCTGGAGATCCGGCACCCGCCGGCGGGCCTTGGAAGGGAGACGGCCCCTGGAAACCCGCCGGCGGCCCGGAAAACGAGTTGCCGGAGTTCTGCGAAAAGTTTTGGGGTTCCGAACCGGGCGGCGGTCCCTTCCAATTGGTGGCGGGGTCCTCCAGGGTGACTGGCAGCGTGATGGGGGGCGCTACGCGACGGCTAGGGCCTGAAACAAAAGGAGACAATGATATTTCGGAATTCATCAATCATATTGTTGTACAAGTAAAACCTTGGAACTCGAGTCGACCAAATACTTGATTAATCAAACGGTTAATTGATATGTGGTGGATGAATTTGACGTCGAACCAAACGCAAGATATGCAGCAAACATCGCCGCTATCTGTGAGAGAGTGCAGGAGAATCCGAGGCAGTCGATTTCGCGTCGCTTACATACTACAACTTGCGTCAAGACTTGGGCCTGCACCCGTACTAAATTCAAATGACTCAAGAACTGAAGGTAAACGATCATAGCAGTTGGCAACTGATTTTAAATTTTATTGAAAAATAATATTCAGCGATGAGACCTATTTCTGGATGAATGGATATGTGAACAAACAAATTTGTCGAATTTGGGACAATAACAATCCCCATGAGATCCACGAGCCTCCAATGCATTCCGAAAAAAAGTCACTATTTGGTGTGGATTTTGGGCTGGCGGCGTCATCGGCCCATATTTCTTTGAGAACGACGTTGACCAGGCCATCACTGTCAACGGTGAGCACTATAGGCCGATGATTACCAAATTATTTTAGCCTGAATTGGATGATCTGGATACCAACGACATGTGGTTTCAACGGGATGGCGTTACGTGCCACACAGCTCCTGCCACATTGGATATTCTGCACGAGCAATTTGAGGGCATGGAGGTGATGTAAACTGGACATCGAGATCGTGAGATTTGACTCCGATAGATATTCTCTTGTGTAGTTTTCTGAAGTCGCAGGTGTATGCGAATAAGCCATCAACCACAGCGTTCCTCAGAGCCAACATAATCAATGCCATCGATCAAATTTGGCCTGATTTATAAGCCAGAATCATGGAAAATTGGACGTTTCGGATGCGATCCACCCAGAGATCCGTGGCTGACATTTGAACGACGTTATATTCCACACATAATGACATCAATTCGTCAAACAAATAAAAAATTTATATGATACCTCACACACACCTTGTTTTATTCAAATTGTAAGATAGGAAGCGCTCAATGAAAGATCCTGCAGTATGAAGGGTTCATTCTCTTCTACGAAGAACAGTTCACTAAATCTCACTATTACGACAGTGAATTTAATATTGTGATGACTTACTGAAATATTGAAAAGGTTGGTGCAGTGTATTATAATACTTAATAATGATATCAGAATAGTTACTGCTGTTTCTTGCGTTTCGAGTTCCACAACCTTATTTTCAGTTCAATATTTTGTTGTTAGAGTTTGTCTCATCTCTTGAATATTCGTTTTTATATTCAATTGTGATACATCTAGATTTATTCAAGTTTATGAGCGTTTTGTCTCACGAAGACAAGTTCCATTTGCTTTGATGTCGCACGTTTCTTGGCAAAAATACCATGCAGAATCCAAAATGCTGTGCCAACTTAAAGGTCCAGATGCTCTATTTTTCCTTCTATCTTGTGGAAAGTCGCCTGTCACGTGTCTTTTTGCTTCTTCTACAGGTTTTCTAGAGAAAAATAGGGAACAACATGACAACGCTGAATTATTCATTATTCTGCAATGTAGAGGTACCATTTTTTAATCCGAATGGCACTCTTTTAAATTCGAATAGTCCGAAAAATTTGTTTTTTGAACATCGTTTAGGAGTCTAGGCGATGGGTACCTCACTTCTTTGATATTTGTAGAACCCTGTTTTGAAATGATGGATTTCAATGAGATTTCAGGATTTTTATTTAAATGTTCTTGTTTCAATTTCCATCTTCGTTGGCCTGTTCGAGGAGGCGTTTCAACTGTTTGTCAAGCTATCTTTAACTGAAGTCCGCCTAAGTATATTCTAGCAAATCTAGCTTTAACATTTTCGCGATTCTTCTGAATGTAACAAGTTCACTTTGCTTTTGCCTTCTAGATGTAAATTATCCGTCTTAATTTTCAGTTTCTGTATTATTCTTCATTAAGCTTTATCGTACGGTGTTTGTTTCACCAAATCGATTTTAATGACGAGTTTGTTATCCATGACAAAAAAATCATTGTCGGGTTATTGGGGGAACGCTGGAGGCACTCGTAAAGGCATTTATTTCAAAAATTCTCCCTAATTTTATTGAACTCTGTTTTACCAAATGGATTGGAATAATGAGTTATTTGTTATCAATAACGCAAAAGTCATTGTCGGGTCGTCAGAGGAGGTGTAGAGGGATTTAAAAATGGAAAATCAACTGAAAAATCTACAAAAGAATGGCACGCATTGAAATATGGCAGAATGTGTTCATTTCAGTATAAAATATAACCACGCCCTGTCTAAAGTCATTTTAGGTCCGTCAGAGAGGCGGTACAGATATTTTAAAATAAAAAATTGAGTAACTAAAAATCAACAAAGGGTAACACGTATTGAGATGCGGTGGAATACAATCATTTCAGTTTCAATTATAACTGAACACTGTCAAAAGTCATTGACGGTTCGTCAGAGGGGGTGTAGAGGTATTTTAAAATAGAAAATCAACTGAAAAATCAATAAAGGGATGACACGCTAGACATCAGATGTTTCGCCGTAAGACACTTGTCTTATTGGTTTTTCAGTAGCAAATACGGATAACTTTATGAGAAAAAAACACTAATTTTTTTCATAATCACAACTTCTTGTCACGGAATGGGTTGAATCAATCCATGTCATCGATGACAGTACATAAATAACATTCATTCGCTTATTTGATTAAATTCCAGCCATAGGAATCTTGTTTGAATAGCAGTGAGGATGACAGTGTTCCATGTAGGAGAAATTCTGTGTTATAAAAAATGTTGCACTATGCGCCAAAGTCGCAATACATATTTTTGATTTATTCAAAAGATCGTGAACGAAACAGGTCAGAATTGATTTTTAGTGAATTTCCTTCGAAAAAATCGATATTAGGGAAGGAAAATTAGATTTCCTCCATTGGTCAATACATTGCTTATTGCAAAAAATGTACAGGGATATAGAATTACATCCTCAACTGGGAGAACCTGATTCTCAAAAAAAAATTGTTGGATTGCGGTGTTGACATATGTGGCAGAATATTCTTACAATACAAGATATCACACGAAACATGCATTAACATCTATAGAAATGCGTTTCTGGGATTTTTCTACCCCTTAAAAAAAGTTAAGAGCGCGATAATTGCTTTTATTTTACGACGAATTCTGGAGAATTGTGCGACAATTAAAAAAATATATTTTAATAGTTCTACTGCAAGTGGCTTCGTTAACTTTATAGGGTTATCTTTTACCTCGTTTTTCACATTCATTGAAACTGAGCGTGATATTTTTACAATATAGGAAAAATCACTTCCAGAAAAATATCGGATAATTCCCAAGTTTTTCATAAAGATTTTTTTTTATAATGTGATTGATTAGATGGCATGCAAATAATTATGAACTTTTATAATTGCTCATGATAATATTTAGAATTTTCACAAAAAAATTTATTCGAGATTCGTTTCGCTGCACAGGAGCTTCATCAGTTACTGATACATCAAACTATACTGCAATGCCTTTTATATAACAGTACGTAATGACTAAACGTATTAGATGAATGAATAAAGTTGGTAAGAAAAATATATTTTGAGAAAACAATTTAATACAATCCAGTTATTATGTTTGGCAATTCCTAAAATTTTCTTGTGAGAAAATATATATCAGAACATTGTCAAGTAAGCTTTCATGAATAAAATAAAGGTTGATTTATCCTCGATAACCCTACTGGAAAACCCCCAAATAACCTGACCGAGTTACACCCCCTAATTACGGGATTACGATCCTTTGCCACATTCTAACCTATACATTGCGTATTACCATAAATAACAAAAATAAAAATACCAGAATTACATTTCGTTTTACGTTGAGCTGCCCGGCCTTGTCTCATATTGCTAACATCGTGATATAAATAATGCCAGCATTCTTGCCATTATACGATTTTTTCCCGAATTATAAATAGCTCCTGGTATTTTCTTGTGAAACCACTGATTAGCACACCACAATTTTTTCACACAGACACGCACAATCAACTTTCCGACTCGATAATTTCCGGGGATTCAATAAACAAACAATTACGGTCCACATTTAATTTCTTCCGAACGACACAAGATTCACTTCTAGTAAACACACCAAGTTAAACCATAGCGCATGTTTGGCTGCCGCCATTATTGTGTACACAAACTACAGTCTACTGTTTTGCCGGTCGACATTCAAAAATCGCCGCTAAACCTCAGAATCTGTCAAATATCCGCTAGGGTTTTAAACTGGGAGCAAATTGTGTTTATTTTAGTCTCGATGATTAGGAAGCAACTGAAATCGGTGCCGAATGGGAATTTCTTTGTAGTGAATTATAGGTTAGAACCCTTTGTTTATGGTATGTAGGTAGACTGAGGTAATGACGTCAAGCAGCGTTGCCAGATTCAGATTATTTTACCGAAACAGGGATTTGTTTTCGGATATATAGAAATCCTTAAAGTTGATTTCTCATCAAATCTAATGAATTGTCCACGGTAGCCTGAGCATTTCCTTTTGTGTCGCAGCTATTTTTTCTGCATTCATTCATGATGAAACCTGTTTTATATATCACTCAGGTTTACGAACATACTAAACTGTTGTTTAAAGAAGCAGTAGAGTTTTTAAATGTAAATCAATGCAAATTATTCTAGATTCCATATCAACAGTTCCCAGAGAAGATACTGAGGGCCATTTTAAATGAAAAAAACAATCATTTATCGGAATAACAACCAACAAAAAAGGGGTTCTCTGTCATTAAACATCAATCATGTTAATTATGAAGTGTACAAGTGCTAGTCGAAACAGGTACATTTTTGGTTCTGAACTGATGAAAAATATCAAGTATTTGCAATAACCTTGAAACACTCCTTTGCTAGTCATTTTCAAGTAACAGATAAATACATTTTAACGTAAAAGCGTTTGCATTTTGAGGTTATAAACACATATTTATAGTGCCCACAGTAAAACTAATGAGTATCAATGGCCCTAAAGAATATATGTGACTAATTTTAATATATTGTTTGACTTGTCTATGTTAGTCAAGTTCTCGAAAACAAATATCGTGACTAGAAATCAACGTAAACATAAGTAACGAGCAAGTAACTTATGTGACTTGTTGAGAAGTAATAAAAACAAAATAGGATGATTTGGATGGCTTTGCCGGATTTGGCGGTCTGACAACGTTGCAGTCAAGGTAGTCAGGTACAATTTCGACTCTTTTGGGGTACAGACGCGTGAAAGTAAAAGAAAAACGCCCACCTCTGTCGGCTTTGCCGCAAATATTTTCTAGTAAGGGAGCAATTGCAATATTGTCAACTGAATTTCTTCTTGGGCCTTCTGCAAAAATGATCCTGGGAGAAACCACCGAGTGGGGCCATTTTCACTTCGCGATGTCGGCGATAAGAGCATCGGTGGCGGAGGCATGAACTGCTGCCGACAGCGCTACGTTTGAATTATACATTCCACTACCGGCACGCTGCGATTTCGAACACTAAAACACCAGCACACTAGATCCGAAGGCGAAAACTCGCGGAAAATCTTGCGAAACTTTCAGACGGTTAATTTTTTAAGCACTCCCGTGTGTAATTTTTTCATATCGCGAACCGCTCGGCGATAGTTGACAGTGTCACCCTAAAAATCAATAGAGTCGCCACCCCTTATCCCTTCCCCACCCGGTGCTCATTCAACATCACGGATATCATTACGAGAGCGGACGGCGTCAAATGGGGCACTTTCTCGAACCAGAAAGAAGCCAAGGTTCGAACGGAGGATCGCCTCTAGACTGTCACTCCGTCACAGAGACAGCTTTGCCACGTCTGAACCGTGAAGTAAGTAGAGCAGTCGGTAGCAGTTTATCGCTTTAAGTACGCGCTTCTACTAGCGTGACTTTACACTGTTGGTTCATTCGCATAAAAAGCAAGTTGAAGTAGAAAAGTGCGACCGACCGCACATGGCCTGCCCTCGCAAACAATAGAGGGGATGCTGCCGCCTCTAGGTGACAATTGACAACTATACTTCGCTTACTTCTGATTCCAAGCGTTCGATCAAGATTGTTTGTTGCGATGCCGAGCAAGGTGCATAATCTGGCGGCCGATGAATATCTCTTGGATTTCGGATGCGTAAGAGATAGCAGACTACATATTTGGGGTTATTAAATCTCTGTTAACACTTTTGCGATAGAGACAGCAGTATTCTATGGCCCACACTTTTTTCTCGAAATCTTCATCATCGTCAGTCGAATTAACAGGCAGCGTTTATTGTAGCAAACTAATTAATTGATCAATTCCAAACAGACAATGATAGCTTGTATAGAAAACTACAGTTTTACGTAAAAGGTGATAAGGAAGTAACTGAACATTTTAACACATAATTTTGGATAGTTTGGTTGAGGAATATTGGTATCTTATTCAAATATAGTGAGAAATTTGGAAAAAAAGGGTTAGCAAACTAATACTACAATGAAATTTCAAAATGACTTATATAGTCATTCGACTCATCTGGCGGCATCTTACAAATGCGTCACTAAAAAATGTTATATTTCCAAAATTATCAAAATACGAATAGAAAAAGTCGTGAATACAATTAAATGCTCCGAATTTAGACGGATAAATACTTAGCCTAGTATTGAGAAAGTTGGAGATGTTGGTATATCAACAAGTATGTCGTGTAATTTCTCTGGATAATATAATTTTTCATTAATCCATCCGACTTCGGGTTCAAACACTCGTGTGAGTGATCAATATAATGTAGGTTACTAATAAAAAGTAACATTGGCTTTCGCAAATATACGATTGCTGTATTTTTGGACCCGAATAAGCGAGCTTTTGAGACATCAGTTTGATCAGTGTATTGGCCAGCCGTTTGAGGGGTACACATTTTGACAAAATCTTGATCTAACCTTGTAGGGCATAAGCCTAGTTTAAAAAATATTTTTTTGTTATCATTATCATGATACTATTTGCGACTTGTTAATGACAACCATCATTTTTAATCCTTTATAGTTACTCCTCCTTGTCATACTGAAGATAAGTGATTAATTCCGCTCGAAACATGTTTGTTTATCGTCGAACGCCCTCCCCTCAATGTCGATGACTACCAAATAAATGTGGATATATTGCGGAGACGACATTCGACATTGTTTTAATTCTGATCCTAATGAATGGGCTTTATGGAACACTATGTACTTATAAATCATTCAGAAAAAAGTAGCGACAAGTGAAACAGCCAAGAAACATTTCTCCAGTCCAAGAACTCATTTCAAAATACATTTTTGGTTTCTTCTTGATATTTTTGACATAATAATTGAGTTGCACCTCAGTTTCAGTCTAAATTGATACAATTGACAAAGAATATTGTAAAATCTTTTACACAGTATGTTGGTGTGTTTATGAAATAAAAATTCAGAATCTAGCTGGCTCAGTAACTGTCAGGTAGAGAACGAGCTAGAAACAGAGGCAATATGACTGTTAATCTAATTTGGAATACCGCAGGGATCTATTTTGAGACCGTGGAAGTTTATTCTAGTTTATTTGATAATTCTGAATTTATTCCCTGCGATACTCTTGAGATTACCTGTCATAAAAATCTGAAATGCGCTGTTGAAAGATTAATGGTTTACTCGTTACAATATATCAACATTTAGTTTTTTTTTTAAGCAATTCACATTGTATTTGAATCGCTGGAGATTAAATCTATTTGGAAAGTTCATTCCACATAAACGCAATTCTCCAGATGAAAGAGCTCATAAACAGTGAAGTTCGAGGTGTACTGAGTTGAATCTCAAAACAATGAGCAGCTTTAGTGCGCCACAGACTGAACCGCTCTTGGTGGGATCAAATGGGCCAAGTCACTTGAACATCTTTTGTGAAAGTACTTATAAAAGACAGACAAATCTCCAACCTTTCTTCCAGACTATCAACGAGGTAAGTGATATTCGCGTCTCCAATCAGGCGGATCGATCTTTCCTGGAGGGAATCTGGTAGCTTCAGGGCATGCTTGGGGGCGGAGCTCCATACATGTGAGCAATGCTCCAAAGAAATTCTGATCAGAGCTTTATAAAACATCAAAAGTTGTTGAGGTGAGTACAGTTTTCCGGTTCAGAACAGTGGTCCACGCTCTTGAGAAGCAGCCTTTGAAATTCCAGCGATATGATTGTGCCAAGACATATTGGTGTCCATTTTAACCCCCGACCAACTTATCGAAGCAGAAAGCGGAATTGGCTGACCTGACATTAAAATATCCGGTTCGGAGACATTTATCTGGTCACTTCTAGATCCTCATCAAGATATGCAACCTCCTGCTGCCAGTGAAGATATACCTTCGTAGCCGATATCCTGGAATCTGAATGGAATGACGAGACAATTAAGGGTGCTGTCGTCAGCAAAGCAATATATTGGATTCTTGATTTTTTCCCAACAGCAACAAACCAAAGCTTAACGTCTCCAAAACTAAGAGATATAAAAATATAAATGTTAAAATCGATGATGAAAAGGATGAAAATTGGACGATGGATTTAATAAAGTCCGAAACGTTGGCATAAAACTAAATTGTTCATCTAGGAACATTTTTATCCCTTTCCCAACCAATAGAAAAAACCGCTTTTGAAAATATTTTGGATCACCAAACCAGGCAAAGTTAAAAAGAAATGAGTGATTAATGTTGTCAACTTCACTGAATTTGTTTGATTTGGAAAATATCGATACTCTTCAGAACTTAAAAAATCAGGTAATGAGAATTATACTGACTTGTGCCAGACTAACTCCGATAAATTTGGAACTGATCTTTTTCCAGATTGGGTTATTCCCGCCAAAAAATATTCCCAATCTCTGCTCGATCGAATAATATCTAGTTTAGAGAGGGAATAACTTTTTTTCTACTAAAGTCACTGCCCTACAATAGCGCAGCCCTAGACCTCAACCTTCCATGTATATTTTAAAGTGTTCGAACATCCTAAATTTTCCCTGTGGAGAGTGCTCTTGTTGTACTGCTTCAAATATTAAATGTTTCCTCGTTTCTTTTCTTATTCTTCAATGTTAAATATTCTTCTATCCTATCCTATGTCATGTGTATGATCGATAAGGATCAATTGATAAACAATAATTTATACACTTACCTATCTGCAACTGCCTGGCTGTTGCTCATTCTTTTTTTTTTGTTAATATCGTCACAACTTTTCCGCTATGCCACAACTAAAACAATGAGTTAGGGGTTTTACCGTTATAATCTCTAAATGTTTGTATATTATAACCAAAGAAGACGATGGCAAAACCTGGAAATCATCCAAAACATTGACGACGGCCGAATAGTTCCTAAAGTTAATTGTCAATTGACATGAATATTTTTTCTTGCAAAGCCTTATTCATTGTTCTTTATCATTATTGGGCAAATGTTTAATAATAATTGTCCACATTTCTGAACCATCTAATCAGTTTATTCAACGAGCTAATTCCCTTTTCGCTTACGCCGCTGTCATTAAACAAAAAGGAGGGATCAACGGAACCTCAGATGGTTCAAGGTCATTTAAAAATGAACAAAGTTGTTTCAATTATGAGGCCTTAAGGTAGACAAAGATGATTGGGAGAGTACTTCTTTGCGAATATCATATTTATAAATGTTCACTTTTTGAATAAATCATCAGCGGCGTCTTCAGAATTCGATTCAGGGTGCACTGAAGTTGGTTTTCGTATCTTATTCTTCCATTATATTTTTTATGCATATGATACTACCCACCTAATCTGGGCGCTACGGCCGAATCTCGTCCCTCCCTTAAATCCGCCACTGGGGATATAGAAAACTGTGTGACCTGATATGCGCAAACACTATTTTATTCAAAAAATACAGGTCCATCAGTTCAATTCCCAATTTTTGCGTCTTATATCTTAATGGAACATTTAAAAGTTTGGCCCAAAAATAAATGATACCAAGGATTATTACAAATAAGAAGAAGATTACAAATAATTGTTTAAATATTTTTTTACTTTTTGTAATAAGTAATAAGTTCCAACCTTGTAATATCTCTACCCCTTCTTAATTTTAAGAGAAATCGTAGCCTATTCATTCATTCATAGTACTGAAATATTGAAGATATAAAGCATTGCGACATACTACACAAGATTTAGGCCAATGATAATGCATGTCTATTTATAATTTACAATCCTTAGATTTGTGTAAACTCCAACACACAACTCGTGTAACATGCACTTGAATTGATGGTTGTCTAAAAACGGTTGCACAGAACTTATCGTTCTATGATCACATTCGATAACAAGAAAAGATAATTCGACTTAAGAATTAATTCAAACAAGATGTTCAAAACATATTACATCAAGAATGACATTAAATATTATACGTAGCTTTAAACTCGTCACGAATTGAGAACTATTCTTAATCGATAATTTATACAATTGAAGACCTGGTCAGGTCAAAACCTGAGTTATCTTGAAATAATTTAAAAAATTAGGCGAGGCAGTCATTAATTAATACATACCTCGCGATGTTTTGAAGTCAAAAGCACCTCATATTGGTGCCAGAATTTAACTTAATATTACTCTGAGGTATTGACTACGGAGTCAGCGACATCTAGATTTTCTATACGAACTTCAAACTCAGGGAAAATATCAAATTTTTGGATAAGAAACCGGAATCGTATTCCAATATTAGTTGTTAATTTTATTAATTTATTGTATTGTTCGTTCCCACAAATGCAAAAGATAGCTCTTAGTAATGACTATTTTTTTGTTTAACCTTAATTCAGCGCTGACACGGCAATTTTGCGTCGAGAATTGGCCATTTCTAAAATAACGAATGGGTATCCCTTATTCTTTTGAAATTTTGGCCGGAAATTTGGATGTATGCTATAGGATACTCTGTAAATTTAAGAACCAATTTTTCTTAATATTCTGGAGAATGAGTTGGAAACACATTTCAGGTAAAAGTGCTATTTATTCAAATCAGAATGGAGTGTCAAAGAGGCGGACGTATTGGTCATATGGAACAATTATCATTGATGAAATAAAAACAATATATCAGATAATTGTTACCAAAAATTCAGATCCGTATTTGGAATTTCTAAGTTAGTCGGACGATATTCTACATGAAAATTCTATGTACATTTTCTCATAGCCCATAAAGTTCTTGTGGCAAAGTGTAATCAGATCTCGGATGTCTCTGGTGTGTGGAGTGTTATCAAGAAGTTGGACCCGAATCCCTATCTTGATTTTATTTTTCATTTATAGTCACTTAGGGGATGGTTAGAATCTTGATGGCTTTCATGTATTACCATTACAAAACATCATTCCATCTTTTTCTCTCAAACTTGAAGTGAAACCATTTCTGAACTTCAATCCTATAATCCAATACCTTTCTTTTCTTCTATTTCAATCCAAATGTATACAATCCATTTCCGACTGCTCCACATTCAGAATAATACCTTCACCCTCATCAGTCCTACTTTTCTCTAGAAAATTACCAGCTGACTCGTCTCCCTGTTTATCCCGAGATTTTTCAATGTTTTTTTCAGTTGACAAACTATTCACGGCAATATCACTTTCGAGCATCTTCCGCCTTGCTAATTTGGATAATTTTCTTCTGCATATTCTAGATTTTTTATCTTTCTTGTCTTTGACTTGTGTTTCAGCAACTATTTTCTTGGGGTTAGAATCTGTAGTACTTCCATCTACATTTTTCTCACTCCTGCTACCATCACCTCTTTCATTCCGAACTTCCACTCCTTGCAGGGTCTTTGAGGTGGAACTATCAGACATAGGGGCTTCCCAACCATTATTCTTCTTTGAGAATCCATCATCTGACTGGTTGTTTTCTCCGCCTTCTGGATGAGGGATATCTGCCACTTCTTCCGTTTGGTTGTTAGAACATGTTTCACCATTTCCTCCAGCTGGAGCTCGATCTTTTTCGATTCGCTCCAAGGTTCCTTTACTAGGATTTTCTTTTGGAACCTTGGTCTTCGCTTCAACGCTAATGGGTTCATGCGCAGTATCTTCAGCTTCTTTACAACTGCGCTCATCACCAGTTACTCCCTTTACCTGATTATTTTGATTGTGTTGGCCGCTTTCTACGTGTGAATTCTCGTTTTCAGAGTCACTAGACGTGATTATGATCTCCAAATTTTTAGGGCTTTCCACTATTACTGCATCCTCATTATCTGAAGATTCAACATCTGCTGCTGCCTTTGCAGCTTCTTCTGCCTTCCTTGTGCTTTCTAAAGCGAGCTGGGATCGAATGGCTCTTGCCCTGGCTTGTAACTCCAACAATTCTAAAACGCTCATGAGGTTTTGTTCAGACATCTGGTTCTTAGAAGAATCTTTCGATTTTTCAGCAGATACATCTCGTTTCTCCTTTTTGACTCTTTTCTTTTTTGGTTCGTCTTTGACTTTGGTTTTGTGCTTTCTGTGGTGCTTAGGTCTAGATTCCTTATCTGAAAAATACAAGGAAAAAATTATTAGGCCCAATGAAATAAATTGTTTGGAAATGGAGATTATAACTATAATAATAATTTAAATTGAAAGAGGCATATTTTTATGATATTAATTATTGGAAAACTGAATTTGATTGACAGAATCCAATATCATTTTTTCAATGTACATTTTTAAAGCAGTCATAGTTAAAAAACCAAACCTGAATCTAAATCAATGACGAACTCATCATCGCTAATTTCATCAAGAGATATTACATCAATCGGCTGTTCCTCTTCAGGATCAGTAGAACTGCTTTCCTCATTCAAGTTCTGTCCACTGAATATATATTTCAGTCGCTTGTTGGATATTCCTAATAACTCGTCCAAAAGCATGGAGTTTATTTCTTCATTATCCAATTTCTGTAAAAAAATACGATAAAAGTATATAACTTTGCCTATCCAAATTCCTTACCTGCATACAATCCGGAGCCATGGTTCGTATTTTCTTGGGTTTGATAATTTTAAGTACCTCTTTCATCATTTTCACTCTATCGTTCAAATAGTGAGACAACTCGTGCTCACTTTCTGTTCCTTCAGAATCACTATCATTTTTTATCAGTTTGGACAGTTTGATTTCTTTTTTTGAGTGACCTCCTTTAACTTTTCTGATTTTGGATGATTGCATCTCTGATTTTCAAATTATAGTCAAAACGGATGGGTGACTACAAAAATAACTGAAAATAAAAGATTTCCCATTTGTTAAAAAAAAAATATACCTTTTCATAAACAAATAACATAACCTTACATTTCATTCGATAACTCTTTAAACTTCTACTACAGAGTGCGTTCAACAAATGGTGAAGTTATACGGTAAAAATCTTATCTATATGGCAGTACGTAAAACAGTGTTATATTTTATGGATTTATGAGAGTGGCGTTCCATAATTCAATTGCTATGAACGTGAAAACTGGAAGTGCAATAGAATACCTAGGTATGTGATGATTTGTTATAGACAATCCATAGGCCTGTTTTTGTTTTACCGTTTGACTTAGTTTGAATATTTCCAGTAGATGTCCCAGATAGCGATAACGTCAATGCAGAACAAAGGGAAAGCCAAGAAAACCACTGATTGACATTACTTTACTTTCATTACCTTCGGTTCAAGGAAGCTTTACACTTTTCAAAAGTAATTGAGTTGGTACACTCAACTGAAAATATTTTGGATTATGTGAAATATTGTTACTGGCCAATTAGAGAAGGGGAAAGAATTTTTAGTTCAGATCATAGAATTCCATGTGTTATAGGAGTCTCCTACTGAAATACGCTATAATCTATATATAATATGGTCGATTAATGAGATTTAGTGCTTTTAAAACCTTATTTGAAAGTCAGAAAATCTTGTTTGGCTGCACCAATTTTCACAATTTTTTTATTTGTCTCCTCTGGATAAGTTCGGTTTTCTAGGTTATAACAGTTGTCATGATGCGTGCAAAGTAAGGGTTATCAATATTCATCGATGTTGAAGAAAAATCGATGTTTAGCAGAAAAACCTCGATATCCAGTCCGCGAAAATAACGACACATCGATGAAAAAAAATTAATATAGACACATCGATAATAAACTTTAGATCGAGGCCATCTTGCGTCAATTGGGTGTACTGGTTGCGCTACTACCAATATTATTTGAAAAAACATTCAAATTACACAGTGTTCCGTCATCACTTCTATTTTGGGTTTGATTTTAGTTTATCATCACTTTTCTCGCATTCTTTTTTGTATTTTGACTTTTAATTTTTAGACCGGAACCAGAATGTGAAATCGGAAACCTACATTATTCGAAACGAGTCGCCGAAACTCTCAAAATATCCACAGTTCGATTCAATTCAAAATATCTGATCTCTATTAACCAAAACCACGCGAAAAGACAACTTTCACATTAATGCCACAGAAAATACATTTAACATGCATTGATCCTCAACATAACTTTGGTCTAAATGGTTTAGACTTTCACGGCTGATAACTTTGGTCCTTCGAGCCGGACAGTTGTGATTCGAGTTTGAACGCTGTTTTTGCGAATTTGAGTTGTATCGTTGCCGTCATATAACACAAAAAAAGGTGGGATTGGGATTGTTGAAAAATGTATTCTCAATGAATGAATTTGATTTTTTATATATAATGTTCATTTTTACACCTAACGAACATCGATATTTTCCTTTCGATATTTGGATGTTATTTTGAAATTAATTGCTCTTGAAGATGATCACTTGGTGATCAATCGAAACACGTGTCGAGGTGTTAAAATAACGGTTTGATGTTGGAAAAAAAACCCAGTAATATTCATCTTTTTTGAACTCTTGTTTTTCAATCGCCTTTTCATTTTCCTGGTAATTTATTCTTAATATTTGTGATTCAGATGGTGTATTACCATAAATATTCTTCAAGTCACTGGATTATGACTGTTATTTTGTGATATTTGTATGCAATGATACAAATCTAGAACCCTATTGAAAGGTTATTTGGAAGGGATTTTCTAACCATGGGATGTCCTCAGGGGGGGGGGGTTGTAATGGACGAGCTATTATGTCTCTTGGACCACAATGGGTATAAAGCACTGGGCTATGCAGACGACTTAGTCCAGGGTAAATACAATAATGTAGTCAAGGGATGCATGCAACAGGCCCTGAATGTTATAACAAGATGGACCGAAGAAGAAGGGCTTACCATAAGCCCATCCAAATCGACCATAGTAGCATTCACCAAGAGGACTAAAACGGAAGGTCTCGGACCTCTAAAACTTCGAGGTGAAGAAATACAAGTGTCGGGGGAGGTTAAATATCTGGGAGTAATCCTAGATTCCAAACTGACCTGGAACCAACACTTGGACAGGATAAAGAGGAAAGCGGAGGTAGCACTGATGCTGGCCAGACGCACCTATGGAAAAACATGGGGGCTAAAACCAGACATGGTATATTGGCTATACACGTTGGTGGTTAAACCCATAATAACATATGCATCTCTGGTCTGGTGGCTAAAGATGAAGCAGGCGACCGCCATCAACAAACTAGGTAAGGTGCAAAGACTTGCATGTTTGGGAATGACGGAAGCAATGAGAACTACCCCAATAGCTGCATTGGAGACACTCCTGAATCTACTTCCTTTACACTTAGTGATAATGGGGGAGGCCAGGATGGACCAATTCAGACTGAAAAACTCACCGTACAAGTTATCTAAGCTCTTCTTTCGCCAGAGAGTGCTCGCGTCGCACACCTGCCCCCGCCAACCATGCCAAATCAGTTGGGAATATAGTCCCGGAGGTGGCCGGTCGGGGTCCTAAGCTCGGATACTAGTAGCTCCGTCCAACCGGGGTCCGACACCTCAAGCGTCTGCCTTGGTGCCCTCCAAGACTAGACTCGGATACTAGAGCCCGGAAGGACCGCGAGCCCCGACTCCTCGAACACTCGGATCCGTACAGAAGCTGGCGAGGATCACGGAACAGCATAAGCCGTCCAGTGCCTCGGTATGGGGCTGCAATGCACCCATGAATGGATTACCGCAACCCTGTATCCCTTTACCCGCTAGTGGAGCCGCTGCCCCTAAGAGGCCAACGCCAATTGGAGATGAGGCTCGCTAGCCTCCAGCCGCGAGCAGGCACTCACCTCCCCCCTAGAACTCGTGTTAGGAAAGTTCCCATTCCAACGTTTGATGAGTAACCGTCGAGGACTCTTTCGAGCATCCTCTACCACACATCGTATGTCGAAGATGTCGCACCCATTACCCGTGTAGGTGCGGGATAGGGCGGTTCATCAACAACTTTTGGGTGTACGCCGTGTGGTCTGCACCGCATACCCTTACGTTACCCCGAGGGGCACTCATGTTAGGAAAGTTACCTTTCCAGCGTTGGATGAGTAACCGCCGAGGGCTCTTGCGAGACACCTCTCCCACACATCTAGCTTGAAACCGGCCAACGCCTGTTACCCGCAGGCGCGGGATTGGGTGGTTGACCGATAACTTTACTGGGTGAGTGCCGTGTGGTCTGCACCAGGGGGACTGTCAAACACCCATAAGAGAGAGACAGTGATCCCCCGCCACTCTGGAGACTTGGGCTAAATGAACAAGTCAGACAGCTCCCAAGGTACCAAAAAAAACATGGGACGTTATTACTGGTTGAAATGAGAAAATAAAATTTGAACAATCAGCATTTATTATTATAAACTATAGCTAAAATATATAAAAATCAATAATCCTTCAATATCAGTACTTTCAACTAAAGTAAGACAACACTTCAAATTCAAAAAAAGAGTAAACTGCAGTTTTGGCTAATATACCAAAAGAGAATATTCGGAGGAAATTTGTACAATAAACAAAGCTGAATAATAAAATATATATCTAGAAATAAAGTAGGTGACCTTTTTACATCAACGAGGTCAATTTTATAATCATTTGAACCTCCAGCGAATTGTAAAAGCTCAGAAAAGTCGCAGATGAATGAAAGATGTCTTTTCATAACCTCAATAAGTGAACCGATGTGAGTTCGTTGGTTTTTCATGACTCTTTCGCTTTCAATATGAACTTTATCAATGCTATCAAAGCATACCAAATAGGAGTATGATAAACCCAAGTATTACTCTTCTCAAAAAAATCTATAACGAACATACTAGGAACGAACATATGTTTAAAAAAATCAACCACTCTGTATTAGTATTTGATTATCATATTTCAAATGAGTTATTTGAATATAGTATATTTGATCAAGAAAGAGAAAGCTTATTTTGATAAAATTTCGGAAAAGCCACACTAACCGCTTTTGAAAAAAAAAATTTGTGGCTACCCACGTATTTTAACGAGTAGATTACGAATGTCTCAACCATCTTTTTGCCCAATACAAAGTATAGAAAAATACAAAAGAATGAATCCATCGTTGAATCAAGTTTTTACAGGAATAACATTGATTATTAAACTGAAAAGTTTCAAAGAAAAGGGACTGAGATGTGACCTGTGAGCCAATAGTTAGTATAGTGCAATAAGAACGCTGAAAATCTGGAAATAACAAGAGAGCACTGATTTTTTTTCAAATTCGTAAAGTATCTAAACCTCAAAACAGGTAAGTACGAGGATGATCTAAAAAAGCTTCCGACTTCAACATGAAGATGGCAGCACTCGTAATTGAAAGCTAGTGAATTTTGTTGTTATCTGTTGACAGTTACTCTCACCGAAGTTTCAGCCATTTTGGACACGCAGTTGTTACGTAACAGTCGTTTGAGTGGGTTGACAGCTCGAGTATCGATCTGTCATAAAATTTTTGTTTTTGAAAGACAATAAGCCTACGCAAATCCAAGATGAGATGGATTCTGAACCGGTTACAGATATGGAGCATGGGAGAAGGGTGAAGCAGACTATTTCGGAAGAAAAAAACTGAAAAATTGTCTTGTTTCTTTGTTAGGTCGAAAACTTTTCAAACCACCCTCGTAAACACAATTTTTTCCAAAAAAAATCGGTTTGTGCAGCCTACCCGAAATTTTCCCCTCGTTTTTTTCTTGTGAAACATATAATAAATTTTTTTAATAAAAATTGTGGCTGATGAATCAGATTGAACAAAAAACCCTTTTCTCGACGCGCGTTTCTCGAACCATGTTACCAACCCGTTAATTGATGACAAGTCCAGCTTGGCAATACAGGTAACTATAGATTAAATCTAGCAGATTACATAAAAAACACATTCTCGTTCATAAGCTCTGTAGTGTCTCGAAAAATAAACCAATATTTTGGAGGCGTTGATCAAACTCATTTTGAAAAATTCTGAAAACTACGAAAGTGGTTATCAACAATCACAATAAAAATATTCAATATATTCTTCTGATGAATTATTTTTTCAAAGTGAAAAAAGGACTTTATGCAATCATTTTGATTGCATTGAATATAATAAACTCATCTATAATATATTGAATGTTAATTAAATTAACATTAAAAATAAAATATCCAAAGTAAAATCACAATTTTTTAAAATATTTTCATCAACATTCGTTCTTGACAAATTTCCAAATTCAATCGAAGCTGTCAAACCAAAATATTCTCATAAAAAGACGACGATGAAAGGAATGGATTCTGGAAACTCCTAGACTATTTCCAGAACATTAAAAAGTGAAATTACGTTAAAAATTCAGCTTGCCAAATGTAGGAAGAGCTTTCTAAATTCCGTTACGCTCCCGCCTACTAGATGTGCGTTCATTAGAAGAATATGAGAGAGAGAGAGAGAGTTTCCTCAAATCTCTTTCTAGATTTGACAAGCTGTATTTTGAGTACGCATATATTGTTAATATTTATAACTGTTAATAACACTTGGATAATAACAATAAAGTGAAATAATTTCGTATGATCATCATTATTATTGGGAAGTGCTCACTAAAAATATGCCACCCTCCAACAAGCAAGCAACAAAGAAAATTCTAACCCCAATTTGGTTCGTTAAACCAATTAAAAATATGTCATCATCAATATTATTTGAAAGATCAATATAAATCATACATCGACGTTCGATCTCAATTTGTACAACCAAACAAACCCTACTTAATCTGGGAAAATCACGTTTTTCCGGGTATATTCCGAAATAAGTGAACAACCGGCAACATCGCCTGTCAATATCTGCCCCCACCCCTTCATAGAAAACCAACGTTTCACGGAACACGTCCTATACTGGAAGTCACAAAACGCAACTGTCTGAGAAGAACAAAACAAAAGAGAACTAAACACGTCTAAGATTAGACTTTTCTAAACGAGCAATCATATACAGCTCGTAAAAAAGTTGCTTCAGTCTTACAATCATTTTGAAATGGCGAGGAGACGCAGTGCCAATTTAGCAGCAGCCTTCTTCGCCATTTGTTTGTTGCTACCGAATCCGTGGACGTATTTCGGTGTTCCGTTCAGCATGAAACAAAGAGGAACGACGCATTTCTTCTTGTTCACAGGCACCAGTTGTCTGAAAGAAGAGCGAACCGTTATCAGAGATTTCTTTTCGGTGATCGGAAAAACTGGGACGAAACAATCCTGAATACTGATCTACATCTATTAGCAATGAAACTTAAAGCGACGGAAATTCTTACCCAAATTTAGGATGAGCGCCGGTCCATTCAAAGAGCCTCCTCACAACGTTTTTAGGGACGTTTGCACTGAAAAGGTTGATTTCCTTCCACATTATCTTATAGAAAACCCTCCAAACAGTCTTCAAATTTTTATTGCTGTCAAGGTATATGGCGCCGGCTAAGGCCTCGAAGATATCACCGAGTATCTGGAAAATTCAAGACAATCAGAATAATCAACATATTGACCGATTGACTTGACTCAAACAATTGAAGAGCTAATTAAATTCTTCCTCAAGACTCTATAACAATGCATTTTCATAAACATACCTCCCACAAAACTTATAACTGTTATCATTTCAATGTTACTGAAAAGGAGTTTCTTCATGTTGAAAATATAACTATTTTGAAATAATCAGACATATCAGATACATGATATCATGTTCAACAAGGGCTGTGGTGTTTTTGCTATTTAGTTTCTTAAAGTCTCTCATGTGTTCCGAAACTCGTGTCTGAAGATATCGCCAGATTTGACCGATATAACATTTGCGACAGCTTTCACAGTTTGATTTGTATACTATGTTGGATTGTATGTCTTGCGGTGTTGGTCAAACTGGACGATATCTTGGAACGCGAGTTTTAGAACACATGTTCAATCATATTTATCCAAGAGACTTTTGAGCGAAATGATACATACCTGAAACAGATAGTGGCCTTAATACCGCATATTTCAATTTGATTAGTAATATACCTCAATAATTCTCCTTTTTTTTTCAGTCTCATTTTTTTCTGTCATTGATAAAGACAGACACCATCCTATCAGTATCATGTCTATGTATAGTGTTGTCACGAAAATTGTATTATTTTAGTGTTTTTTATTTTTATTGTGTATCTATTATGCCTGAAAAAAGTTATATTTTCAATACAAAGAAACTCCTTTTCAGTGAGTAATTTATTTAAGAATTCATGATTCCTTGTGATATTAAAATGATAACAGTTACTACTTAAAATGTGTGCTTTATATAATAACAAATTGAATCGGTAGCTCTTGCAATGGTTGTGGCTGGTTTTCACTCCAGATGCGGCAATTTTGCTTGTTAACGTATCCATTCAACCAAAAATGAGTCTCGTCGATGAACACAATTTTTCGATAAAAATGTGGATCTTCCTCCAACTTTGCCAGCGCCCATTCACCAAATGTTAGACGTTGTGGGGGGTCGTGTGGCTGCAATTCTTGCACCAGCTGTATCTTATAAGGTTATACACCCAAATCCTTTCACAAAACTTTCCACGCAGTGGAGTAACAGAGGCCCAATTGCTGCGAACGGCGGCGAATCGACATTTCACGGTCATCACGAACACTGGCGGATACAGCCGCAATATTTTCTTCGGTCCTCACTCTAAGTATGCGTGTTGATGGTTTCATGCCCAATAATGTAAACTGGGTTCGAAATGTAGTCACAAGCTTTCGAATAGCTCCCTCAGTAGGCCAACGAAACTGCCCATAAATTGGAAGAAGTGCACGATGCACTTTCTTCACCGAGCATGAATTTTTATAATAAAATTCAATAATTTGCAGACGTTGTTCCTTCGTAAGTCGATTCATGGTTTAATTATAGACCAAAGCGAACAAGTTTGACATTGACACAAGACACGATTCACGCCTGATCTGTCAAAAACAGTGTTGCCAAATAGATTCCAGCAGAAATTCCAGAGATCAATATCTTCCTGAAGTTTCACTGGCGTGAATGGCTGGCTTCTTCAGAGGTTTTTTCATTTTGAGTAAATATCTCCGATGGAGATATTTCCTCTTGAGTTCCTCAAGAAGCTAGCCATTTGCGCCAGTGAAACGTCAGGAAGAAATTCCAAAAATCCACGGCCTTCAAACTCGAAGAATATTCACACTATATTATAAGCTGTCAAAACGTGAGAAAATCGATTTGAAAAATTATTTAAACAGTAATGCCTTTTATAATTATGACGAGAATCACAGCAGTAACATCACGAATGACATAGATTGACAGCGCATTTCGTGGGACAACATTATTTCAAATTCAATTATGTTCTTCACTTGTGTAAAAATAATTATTCAACACCACCAATAAACTATTCTCATTCTGATTCTTACTATTATGCACTGACCTTGGGAACATCCACAGATTCAGCCAAGTTGTTCTCGCCCTCTTCTAGCAGTATCATCACCTCGTCATCGATCACGTGGTTCTTCCTCTCCATCATATTGGCGAACTTATCTACGAGCACCTGCAGCTTCGAATTGATCATCAGCAGGAACTTGTGCAGGCCGTGCCTGACCACAAGGCTGGCGAATGTGTTGTTGTTCACTAAGGCCGATCTCAAATCAGTCAATTCGCCGGGATCCAAGTTACCGCACGACTCGTATATGTGGCAGGTGATGAGGAAATCCAAGACGGCGTCTCCTATGAATTCCAGCTTTTCGTAAGAAAGCGTCAGCCTGTTCGGAGTGTACGACGGATGAGTGAGAGCTTGCAGCAGGAAGGCACGGTTCTGGAATTTGTAACCTAAAATCTTCTCGATAACTTCGGCTTGGGGTAGGTGGTATTCGATTTTTTTCTTGCTTCCCTTTACGTTCAGTACGGGGTCTGGGGACGGACGGTTCAATAAATTCTGAACGTTTTCTGAATGGGGAATTATTCCCATCCACTCGATGAATTTAATACCTCCTGAAAAAAAAATTCATAATTAATTTACTTTCAAAACATATTGTAAATCATGCCCGAAAGAAAATAACGCCGATCACCACTGGTAACCAAACATGACGTAGTTAAGAGAGCGCGAATGCACAATGTTCCCTGCCGCTCTAGAATCAGCGAGATTAACGCTGATTTCGACGGAATTACGGCGAAATTTCTACGGCATTCGATTACGATATTTGAACGCTAGCCACGAGCATATCGACACAGTCAAGTGGACGTTACAGTGCGGTACGCGAAGTGATCTAGTAAGGCTATAGGCATTTGAGTATTTCATTATTTCATGATTATTCAGTGTAGTCAATTATTGGTCAAACCACGGGGGAAAACGTAACAATAGCAGAACTGTCGGGGAAGAACAGAGTCGCTGCTATAGGCTTCGCGTTCCAATATTACCGTCTACCCCAACCGACGCTACGGAGTCAAATCATACGATCTCGGGGACCAGTTCATATCACCTCCACGTGGGATGACCATGTCTGCAGAATATCAAATGTGACTGCGCTGTGTGGTACGTAGCGCCGTCCTGTTGAAACCAAATGTCGTTGGTGTCCAGATCATCCAATTCAGGCCAAAATAAGATGGTGATCATCGACCTATAGTGCTCGCCTTTGACAGTGATGGTCTGACCAACGTCATCCTCAAAGAAATATGGACCGAAATATAGGGCTCCGCCAGAGGTGACCAACTCTTCCCTTGTTACTCGTGGAAACACACATGAATGATACAAACACAAAAACAGAAACAACAAAAACAAGAATCAATCCCGAGGCTGGACAGAAGTGCTCACAAAGGCCAAGGCGTAAGCCCATTTGCGGCGCCGAGGTCAAAAGGAGAAAGAGAGCGAAGGAAGCAGGAGTGGCAGCAACTGTAAGTGCACCCTCCTCCTCTCCCACTCCACCTTCAACAGCAAAGGCCACTTCCTGCGGCGGGCGCCAAGAATTCCGCCTTGAATAAAGGCAAGGAACCGCCTACCCCTGCAGGAACGCTCCCTCACTTGTGCACCTCCACAGAGGGAACCCCCAGAAGGTTGAAGAAGCCGCGCAAAGACAGTAATGTCGCTGCACCTTCCAAAACCTTCGCGGAGGACACTGTGAGACACCTCAAGGTTGCCAAAAACAGCGTGTGTTCGACTTTTTCGAGATGCATTGTACACTCTTGGATCTCATGTGGATTGGTATCATCCCAAATTCGACAATTTCGTTTGTTCACATGCCCATTTATCTAGAAATGGGCTTCAAACACTGGAGATGATTTTTCGATGAAAATTAGGGTCAGTTGTCAACTACTCCAGCGCCGTTCAGCGAATACACGCCGTTGTCTATAGTTGTTTACCTACAGTTCTTGGTCAGTTGAATTTTGTAGGTGCAGGCCCAAGTCACGACGCAAAATTCGCCAAGTTGTGGTCTGTGAAAGGCCGAGTTCTTGTGATCGCCGCGAAATCGACTGCCTCGGATTCTACTGCACATTCTCACAGACAGCGGCGATGTTTTCAGCGTTTCAGCGTTTCAGATCTTGCGTTTCGTCAACCTACAGATGTCGGTAGATCGTTTACTGAACCAGTGGACTCCAATTAATCCACCACATTGCAAATAGACCTCTCGTTAGGACGATTATGGCGATCGTAAAATGTGCGAAGCGCGCAAAGAGAATTTTACCAACTAATCAAGTGAACGTGCAATAAACTAATTACCAATTTCCACATCAGAAAACAGGTTCAGAAGAGGAGAAGGATTCAATTCCAAACAGGGAAATAGGAATTGTACTCACCCGAAAGCCCATTGGACTGCAAAAACGCTCCGAGCAGTGATTCGACCACGTCCGCTACTTGCTTATCTCCAATGTACTGGCACTTCAGATACGAGCTCATGGTGTGATACGAATTCTCCTCGTTGTCCTCGGGCGGGTTATCTTCTTGGAGTATATACTCCAACGTCTCCTCATCCACCTCGCCGGCGATCTGCTCCTCATACTTGATGCTCAAACCGAACAGCGAGTGCACCGAAAGCTCCTTGTCTTCGATTCGTCTCGCCATCTCGCGGGGAATCGTGAACGCGGGCGGCAGCCAGTTATTCCTCGGCGAGAGCTCGTTGTACTTCATTATCCCTCCGAGGTTCTTCTTGATCGCGAGATAGAACAGACTCTCGTTGCTCACCATCTTGCCCTTGAGGCTCGTCGCGCGTCCTTCGTTGTACTGAGGGAAACGCATCAGAATGTAAACGGAGGAGAGATATTTCAGAAAAGAGTCGCCGAGAGTTTCGAGCCGCTCCAAGTTGACGATGTCATTCGCTTTGGCGGTCGTCAACGCCCTGTAGAGGTCGCGCAGCTCTGGACCGTCGATGGTGGACGGTCGGTCGAGAATCTCCAAACTTGAACAGATTTAAATTAGTATCAGTTCTCCGTACGTAAGACACCCGTATACATAAACTGGCCAGAATTTCTCAATATGAAAAAAGCATATTGGCTAAATAGGCCATTGCCCAAATAGTTGGAACGGTACATGAATCCGAAAATAGAATAGTTGGGCAGGGAGTCCCACAGGGATCGCTGCTGGGACCGCTACTTTCCATAATATACATGAATGGCCCTACAAACTTACATAAAAATTCCTGATGTACATAGGACGTTACTGGCGACGAATTTTCCAAATGAAAGACGTCGCACACGTGCCTGATGGTTTTACTTTCGCTTTCTGCGCGGCATTAGCTGGGTTAGCTGTAGTTTTTCCGTCGGTTATCGACCACACTTTCCTACAAAATCGTAGGTCTCACATGAGAGACGTGGGTTTGGTATTTTCAGCAGAACTTGGGCATATCATAAGCAGCTCTCTAAAATATGCTCATTATTCCGACTCCCACCCCGGAGTATGTGAATGTGGAGTTGTTTCCGGACTTTGTCTTTGTCTAATTTTGTTTTTTCGGGATATTCAGACAATTCACTCCGTCATGAAATGACCCTCCCGGCACCTACAAGGGGCTAGTACTCCTAAACCAGTCTGTCGATGGTCATCCCGACCAAATGGAAATCATTTCAGCTTCCATTGACGTTGCACAGATGCCCGATGGTTTTACTTCAGCTTTCTGAGCGGCATTAACTGGGTTAGCTGTTGTTTTTTCGTTGGGAATTGGCCCCACGTTCCCCATCTTCCTCTTTGAAGATGATCACTTGGTGATCGAAACACGTGTCGAGGTGTTGAAAATAATGATTTGGTGTTGGGAAAACACTCCAGTAATATTGATATCTATCCAACTGGGAGAAAATAAATAGTTTCATTTCTACCTTTTTTTATTACTCTAGTGCCTTGACTGGTTTGACTAAATATGTACTTTTTTGAATTGAAGGGGTTATATTTTTTAGGAGTGATTAATTTTTGGGAAAGTTTTTGGCTTTCTACTACTCCATCTTGATACAAAAAAGAAGGATGAGGGAGTCTTCCAAAGAAAGGAAGGAAGTAACTCTATACATGGATGTGTAGATCATGCAAAGAAGTAACTTTCAGACACAAACTGAAAGAAAGTCCTCCTGAAACAGCTACTTTCATATAAACATTGAATTATACGAAAGAAAAAATTCTTTCGAAACAAATACTTCTATATGAACACTGAATCATACAGAAGATACTTTTCTCTACTCAGTTCGTATTTCAAACATTCGTTGTGGAATAAAAATCAGATATCATTCACATGAGTTCTACTTTAAATGAATGGCAACAAATTGCACTTACATAGAACACTGCCATCCTCACTGGTATACACCGTGAGGATACTGTATACCAGTGAGGATGGCATTTGCCCTGAAACTTTAATAAACATTTCAAATTTTGTCCCAAGGTAGACCTTTTAATATTTGACATTTCAAAAAAAAAATATTAAAATCGGTTTACAACTTCAAATCTTAGGGGGGTGTTTCCATTAAAAATGGGTCACACTGTGTATCATTAGTAGTATATAGGGAACGCCAATTCAGACCCGACGGTCATTTATTACAGCGGTGGAGGATCGAATTGACCCACTCACTTTTGACCCAACCTAACCTTGGAGCCCTTGGACCTACTGATACAGTAACAATACACAATCTTCCATAATCATAATCCACCTGATATGAATATTAAAAAAGACATACCTTTTCTCTAAGTAGTCCTGTTGGAACGTCAAGGCCAGCTGCTGCTCTCGAATAGGCGACGACGACACCCCGTTCATTTTCACCGGAGAACTACCCCTCCCCTTATTTATGAAAGTCTCGTAGTAGGCAACGTCCATCACGGTCGCGGTGATGTCTCGTTCTAAATCTTTCGGTTCTTCTTCGTCCTTCCACGGATACTGCGCCTCCAGCATCTTTTTCGTGAAATCCGTATTGATCTGAAGCGTCGGTATATTCATAAACAATTGATTCGCTTCGATGAGTACGTCGTCTTTTTGTTCTTCTTCCATGAACGGAACGTAGTCGAGCACGTAATTGTCCAGTTCCAGGGGCTTCTTGGTGGGTACAAGTTTTCGTCCCAGTCCGGCTTCCTGCGCGATTTTGCACCGGAGTTCCTCTATCTGTAGCATGTAGCTGATCCTGGACACGATGGTCGGAAGCAAGTTGGCTTGTATCCACAGAGCGGAGGGAAAGTCCTGCTTGACGACTAGCTCCGGCAGCAGATACTCCGTCATCTCCTCGTAGCTCCTTTCGCGCTTCTTCTTAGCCTCCTTGCCGACAGGCTTAATGAAATTGATGCGTTTCGTGAGTCCCTTCACGTAGAGCAGCGGCAACGTGGGGTTCACTATCCGTATCTTGTGCTTCTCCTCGAAATATTCCTTGAAGCTGCCGTATGTCTCGTTCGGGAAGTCGTAATAGGCGTCTCTGTTGAGGCAAACCTCGGTTACTATGTAAACCGGCGAGTCCGCTCTATACCAGGGACAAATTATCTTCCGCAGGTAAGTCTCTTGATTGACCTCCAGTTCTTGTTTTTCCGTGGTGGTCAATTCGTTGTCTAGCTTCACTTCCCCGTGCAGGGTCATAGCATCGAAATCGATTCCTCCCTTGATTTTATCGACAGCGACTAGCAGCAGCATTTCGGCGTTTACAGAGTTATCGAATATCAAAAACGATTGGACTATCTTCAAGATATCGTCGTACACTTGGAAGTGAAACTTTTTGATGACATCGATTTCTTCTTGCGTCAAGGTCACGGTGTATGCGTTCACCTTCAAAGTAACGTTTATCGTTCCCATGGTAACGTAGATCGGGAAACTGCACAAAGTCGGTAACGGATTTGGGGTTATGATTCCGTAACATAGCGGAGATGTGTACACGTCGTAGATTGTTTTGTAATTTATGTCTTCGGTGTTGACTTGAAAATTCGGTTCTAGTTCTATCACGTGAAGAAAATGTTCATTATACGGTTTTATTTGGCCTTGGGCAAATTTCGAAATCTAAAACAAAGTAGTGGGTTCAAAAGGAGGTATTATACTAATGCACAGAATGTATTGGTTGATTCTATGAAAGTATAACTTCGCTAGCAGAATAACTGGATATCTTGAAATAAACAGGACTATTAAGTATTAGTAGCACCAGAAAGGAGACGCTCTTTGAGACAGCTGGATTGACAACTTGTCGGTTTATGCAAGAGATGGCGGATTGGCTGTCCTTGTTCATCTTTCACTGCCTGAACCACTGTGCAAGCTGTTTTTGGCGAGTGCATTGGCTTGGGATGTGGGGGTTGAGCATACCGGCCATCGGATGCCTGCTTCCACGTAGCACCGCTGGATACGGGAATGACAGAATCACTTGTGGTTTTGTTATTCCCTAACTGAATGGCATCCCAACGATGGCTTGATCCTAAGGTGTGTGTAGTCGTGTCGAAAGGATGAATGGTCTTTACTGTCTTTACGGAACTTTCGCGGTACCGGGCGCCCTCTCGTCGTAGCATCGCCTTGTCACGGTAATGAGGGTCTCTGCCGTGATTGACCTTGTTTCCCTAGCTACTCGTGGGACTTCATGGACAGAGTAAACTTGAAAATTCTTTCTGACGCCGAGTCTATAGAGGAGATGGATGTCGGGCTTACGACTCCAACTGACCTCCCTGTAAATTTAGATCACGAGTGAGTTTACAGAGGAGATGTATGTCGAGCTTACGACTCCAACTGACCTCCCTGTAAATTTAGATCACGAGTGAGAGCTTCTCAACTCTCCAACTCCTGATCCAATAACTGAACCTTAGGTTTGGTGGTGCAGCCAGGAGACGACTGAGTCGTCTCCTCAAGAGCGGGGTACCTTATGAAATCGCCTTGCCCCAAATTCTCAAGCGGCGTACGCAGAATCTGTTTCAAGTGGAAGAACAAACACCCCTTGAGCAGGTTATCAAACGTTTGCGCTCAAGTGATAATTCACCAAAACCAGAGGCCTAAGGCATCGTCAGGTGTAGCTGACGTGCAAAAACCCTCATATGGGAAGGTTGTCGCGGATATCAAGGTGGTAATCTTGCACCTTGACTATCCGACTACCTAATTAATGATGAAACAGCAGAGCATATACTTTGTGCCTGCACGGCAGAGCCGTGCTGACCTGAAAGACCACTCATCAAACAAACTAATCAACTTCGTTAAGGAGCTGGGTTTATTTGGTCGTGTGTGAATAGATGTTGGCCACAATAAACCCTTGCGGGCTGCGGTAGAGGGTCGAATAGACCCACTCACTTTGGACCTAACCTAACCTATGCAAGAGATGGCGCCACCAGTTAAGCTAGGCGCAAATTGAGCGCGTGTGAGCTGACCTGCACGAGCCACATGCGTAGCGTGGATGATCCGCAAATTGAACGCAATTTCGTACTGGCAATCGTACCGCAATATCCGACAGAGTTAAAAAAGCATTGCTTCTATTGAGTTCGGAATCAGAATCGGACAGTGATGCTGGCGATGAACTTTTGCTTCATTATTTGCCCGTCAATAATACATTACAATCACCGAACGAGAATATTCTCTTGGAAAAGAAGAAATGTGAACAATTTATGATAACAAAGGAGACGAGTCATTCCAAAACCTATTTTTTGAATTTTGTTTTCATGTAATTCGGATCGCTGGGGCCATACAACTCTTTGTGACAGCCTCAATTAACTCTTCCACAACCATAATTTTGAATTTAAAAAATAAACAATGAAAAGCCAAGGCGATACGGAAATAATTAGTTCAAAAAAATGTCTCAACCACTGTGCCACGCGAGTCACATCACGTGTCACGCTAGTCGCGCCACCTTGTGTCCAGGTGTCCAACTTGCGCTGTTCTTTTGTTTTTCATCGCGCTGTACTGCGTCACGCCACACGTCTCCAATTTGTGCCTAGCCTCACACCCCATGCTGTCATTCTTAAAATTGCCGTCATCATCCCAGCGCATAAAGGTGGACAACTGGATCAGCTGATTTTAGATCTACTGCTTCACTCTCAACTTTCCATAAAATTGAAGAAAAATTAGTTTTGAAAATGATACTACTATTCATAGAATATATTGCCGAATTAGTTTGGCTTCCAATCCATGAAGAGCACCAATGACGAAATTCTCAATTTGTTAGAATTTGAAGTTTACATAGGACTGAAAGTCGGTGAAGCTTTCGGAGTTGTGTTCTATGATTTCTCCAAAGCTCTCAGTTGTGTGAATCATGGAGTACTGCTTTGAAAGGTGAACCGTTCTGAGTTCAGAGAAATTGCAAATAAACGATTGGAATCATAACTCGTCCAAAACAAATAATCCAATTCTTCACATACTGAATGTAGTGTCCTCCAGGGTTCAGTTCTTGGGTCAATTATAAAAACATAACAATTAATCCTTCACTTTATTACTCTTCACAAAAATCAAAATCAACCATCCACTCACCTGTTTCTTATGCAACCTCCTAGTTTTGGTGACCCCCGCATTTGTTTCTTTGATCGCCGGATAATGTTTGAACAGAAAACCGACGTCTTCATCTTTGACTACTTGTTTGCGAGGCTGAAGATGGTCGTCCAATTCACCAGCTTTGTGGAGCAGTATGCAAGCTTTTAATGCAGCCGCTCTTTTTGCGTTCTTTGCGGACCTCAAACTCGGGCCCTGAAATTACAAATTCGAAAATTGCAGCAGAGTAATTTTATTCAATACCGTCATTACAAATTTTACTTTGGCAACAATTTCTGCTTTAATCACACATTGTAGATTGGCAGGGAAAACTCCACAGTATGACGGCAAACTTGTTTTTTTCTTAGGTGTCAACGTCATCGATCGCTTGGTCATTACTCTCGTGTCCTGGGTGGACAATATTAATAACTCGAGCCACCTAGGGAGCATCATGACTTCAAAGACCGTCAGCCAGAATCCATCTTAACTTCAACCAGATAAATTCTCTCGAGAAAAATATCTGGTCGATGTTGGGATCGAACTGCTTTCCATTTTGCACCATTCACTATAGTCCAATAATATTCTATTAAACGTAACAGAGTTACTATTTTCGTCTACAAGTAGTTCATCGGTTTTTCTATTACAAATCTCGCGTTTCAAACAGAATAATTGGTATAAAACACAGGGAATTCAAAACGTTTAGTAGATCCGCGAATGATGACAATCTCCTGGATAATTTCTGGAAATCCTGACCTTTATTATTAGCATCCACGATAGTGTAGCGATGACGTACACCACCTCGTCAGAGCTGAAGGTAGGGAACATGTGTGGTGGGGCGCCCGCAGCAGAGGAACGAGCCGAAGCCGATGGAGCTACACCGAGAACCACCGAATGGATTCAGAGAAAGCGAGGATAATCAAGCCGATTGCAGTTTCCTATCTTCAACATGATAATGACGAATATATTCTACGGAAATAAAAAAATGCTGTCAAGTATGATGAGTCAATTTCGGTCCCGACAAAGCTAAAGCTATAAATACCCAACATTCGCAGTTACTTTCAATATCTTACGTTGGTGTAGAGGCTAAGAACAATGTCTACCACGCGGACGATCCGGGTTCGAATCTCACAACTTTAAACTTTTTTTAATTAGAATCACGTGACTGGAACGTGACAAGGGGGCCGAGGGGTGAGGCACTAAGGGGGCCGAGTTCCACGCTTGAATCGCTACGATACTCGTTCCTTCCTGCGTAGATGACGTCACACGTTTCTCTTTTCCACTCACTAAAAAAAAATTTCTCTCTGAAATACTTATCAGCGACGCACGACCTTGAATTGCGCCAGAACCCACCTTGTTCATCTACTGTGTCCGTGCCGACCGACGGAACGATCCGACAGAGGGTAATTTCGAATCATTCAAGGTAGGACACGAATCTTTCTCCGCGTTTCCTGCCCTTTGTGATATTCGCCACTTGGGCTACCTTGTCTTCATGCGTCTCCTCTTACAATTTCCGGTTCTTTGTGGTACACCTCACTTGGACCATCTGTCCGAAGTTTCTCTCCGCGTTTTTATCACCTGGACTATCCTTCGCGTTCACCGGCTTCGGTACTCTCGTCAGTTATCGTCGTCGCTTTCGAAACATCGGGTCAAAGAATATAGCTGGAGCACAATAGAATAATACAACCGGTAGGTTCTCTTACCACGTGATTCGCCCGACTTGCCGGGGACCTTCAACCGCTCTTAGGATGAGATTCTCATCCAACGCGTTCGGTGCTGTAGTATCGAAGGATTCGACTGTACCACAGACATCGGATTAGTTATAATAAACGGTCGGAAATTGATATTGTGTTTGGTTTATTCGCTGTTGCTATTATTGTTTTTAGTTTTTGTAGTTAGTTATAAGTAATTCAACACAATATATTCTATAATAACCTTAAATTTCGTTTTTATATGAGCGCACGTCTATGGTAAAAGAACGAAATTGTCTCCGCTTTTCGTTTCGAGGTCAACGAGAACTTCGGGAATTTATGAATGAAAGTAGTGGGAGTGGACTTATTGGTTGATTTTTACTATGGCTAGAGCAGGGGAGGGACAAGCATTATTTTTAAAAGTGAATTGCACAAAGCTTCCAATTCCCGTTTGCTTCATCATTCGTAGTTGATTGCGTTCCCTACCTTCCGTTAGCACAGCTTAGCTTATTTTAAACCCCTGCCGTTTTGTTTCGTACTCACTTCGTTGCACGGTACTCCGCCCCTGTAATAGGTTAGCGACCGTATAATAGAGTTGATTTGGTCCCTACCGTCCCTACCATTTATGATCTCGCCCGTATCGTCTAAAATCTCGTCCGTACCGTCTATTATCTCGTCTGCACCGTCTATGATGTAGTCCGTACAGTCTAAGATCTCGTCCGTATCGTCTATAATCTCGTCCGTACCGTCTAAGATCTTGTCCGTACCGTCTAAGATCTCGTCCATACCGTTCAAGATCTTATCCGTACCATCTAAAGTACCGTCTATGATCTATTCAGTACCATCTATGATCTCGTCCGAACCGTCAAAAATCCCGTCCGTACCGTCTATGATCTCGTCCGTACCGTCTATGATCTCGTCGGTACCGTCTGAAATTTCGTCCGTACCGTTCAAAATCTCGTCCGTACAGTCTAATGGCGTCAAATATTAAGTTGACGCAACTGAGGGGTTAACAACGTATTACTGAATAGATACAAAAAAAACGAATGTCCAGTCTTTAAAAGATGTTAATGTTAAGGGAAACCTGAAAAACCTACCTCGATCACATCTACAATTGGACATATGGTCGGCAACATAATGACAACACTGTACATTTTCGTTTCCGTGTGATCGCTAGATGTTTTAATATACCAATCAGGTGCGTATTCTGTATAAATGTCGGAAGGAAGACAACTGCAGTACTGACATAATAATGGAATAGCCGACAACATGTTGACTTGAGCAGATCCAGGTCCGTTCACATAATAAGGTGGCAGTTCGTCTTCTTGGTACATTTTTTCAATCTCGTCCTTGTCTGGTTCTTGCCTCTCTGTATTTTTACCAATCAAATACTAAAAAATGCAAATGATGTCAATGTTATAATGGATAATAACAATTTATTCTCCATTTGACAATTACATATTGTATAGAGCTCGTCACAAGTAGACAAAGAATATATGAAATATACTAAGCCATGAATATAACTGAGAGCTAAAAAAAATATACATAAACGATGAATTGATTAAGTCTTGAAAGATTCCTGTTTGGAATATGCCTCGAGAAGAGTATTTGCATACTACTTTACTTGTACAAGATGATATATAGTGAAGAGGATGATCCCTGTTTTCTAATGACTGACTTTTTTGCTGATATCTTTTTGGCAACTCTGTTTTTGACAGATCACGCGTGAATCGTGTCTTGTGTCATTGTCGAACTTGTTCAGTTTGGTCTATAATTTAACCATGAATCGACTTACGAATGAACAACACTTGCAAATTATTGAATTTTATTATCAAAAGCTTGTGACTAAATTTCAAACCCAGTTTACATTATTGGACATTAAACCACCAACACGCATACGTAGAGTGAGGACCGAAGAAAATATTGCGGCTGTGTCCGCCAGTGTTCGTGATGACCGTGAAATGTCGATTCGCCGCCGTTCGCAGCAATTGGGCCTCTGTTACTCCACTACGTGGAAAATTTTGGGAAAGGATTTAGGAGTTAAACCTTATAAGATACAGCTGGTGCAAGAATCGAAGCCACACGACCTTCTACAACGTCCAACATTTGGTGAATGGGCGCTGGCAAAGTTGGAAGAAGATCCACATTTTTATCGAAAAATTGTGTTCAGCAACGAGGCTCATTTCTGGTTGAATGGATACGTTAACAAGCAAAATTACAGCATCTGGAGTGAAGACCAGCCACAAGCATTGCAAGAGCTACCGATTCATCCCAAAAAAGTCAACTTTTGGTGTGGATTATGGGTCGGTGGCATCATCGGGCCGTACTTCTTCAAAGACGACAATGGCCGGAACGTTACTGTGAATGGCGAGCGCTACCGTGTGGTGATTGATGACTTTTTGTTGCCCAAAATGGAAGAATTGGACATGCCTGACAACAAGACGGTGCCACATGCCACACGGCACGCGAAACAATGGCCCAATTAAGAGCCGCCTTCAGTGAACAGTTTATCTCACGTTTGGGGCCCGTCAAATGGCAGCCTAGATCGTGTGATTTACCGCCTTTGGATTATTTCTTGTGATGTCATGTTAAGCCTCATGTCTACAGGGATAAACCAGCAACAACTGACGCTCTGGAAGCCAATATTAAAGCATTTACACGTGAAATACCCGTCGATATGTTAGAGAGAGTGTGCCAAGATTGGACCTTGCGCATGGGCCATCTAAAGCGGAGCCGCGAACAACATTTGCATGAAATCATCTTCAAACATTAAATTATATTGATCGTTCCATCGATTCCAATAAAGGTTTCATTAATTTTTTAAGTTGTTTTGAAAATCAAATCCTATACCTCTCAAAAACTCACCCGCTATCAAAAATCAATTTCAATGTACCTGCTTATGAATCTAGATCGTTTCGCACATTCAAGGAGAAATTATCATCAAAATGCTCCATTAAATGCTGTGTGCTATGCCTATAATAATGTACAAAATGACTGTGATATTTTCTTCCAAAATCTTACTAGTTTTAGAAATGAGTTCTATCAAATTGTATATTTTTTTCAACTGTTTTGTCATTTTGTTGTATGTACTAATCTATTTGTGATATTTACCTTTCCTACTCTGTGACTGGGCCACGGTCTGCAGAGTTTGTAAATAAATAAATAAAAAAAAATAAATCACCATTAAAGGTGAGTATTCTCCCTTCAAGCAAATGAAGATTACTCACATTATTCAAAGTTTCTTCTACCAACTGAAAGTCCTTGTACTTGGCAGAGTATTTGGTGATCTCTTCTTCCTCCACTATCATATAATAAATGCTGGCCTTGTGCCTTGCTCTACCCTTCGACTGAATGTAAGACCTGTAATCTTTGGGTTTATCGTACTTCACCACCAAAGTGCATCGGGGAATGTCGACCCCTTCTTCCAAAACGTCGGAAGCCACCAGAACGTTAATTTCCTTGTTGGTAAAACTGTTCAGAACCTCCTTGTTCTTCTTCGATTGAAACATGGATTCCCTGGTGTCGTTGTAAGGGTTATTGTTGAAGCCCACAATGAAATTTGTCTTCATGTGTTTGAATTCCGGGTCGCACTTGCTTAACGCGTCCAGTATGAAGAAAATCACTTTAGCTGCGAAGCGTCTTTCAGTGAAAATGATCGCGCACAGTTCCTCTTGCGATTTGGTCCTGAATTCTCTCAGGATTTCCAGAAGTGTTAGAATTTTGTGCGAGGAGAAATTGTAAATGCGACTCTTCTCGTCGTGACCCTTCATGCTGTCCTCCAGAAACTGTTTGATGAAAGAGAGCGAGGTTTGAACAGTGTTGAGGATATCCATGAATTTGTCATCGTCGCAGTGCTGTTTCAGCCGTTCAATCTGTATCAAGTGAGATACAGCGGCCTTGACCCCTCCGTAAGTCCCCATGATCTGGATGTGCACTATGACGTCTTCTAGTAAATTCCAGAGTCTTTTGTATGTATCCCCTGGATCCAAGGGCTTCAAGCCCAAGATGTTGTTCTGAAAGCATTCAATTCGAATGACTTTCAACACAGCTATCGTCCTCTTCAGAGTATCTACTGCTACATATTCGGGATACCTCAAGGTATGCCCTTGGCAGAATTTGAATTCCTCGGTGGGGTTAGTAGAATAGCTGAAATTAGAGTTTGCAGCAATAATGATTTAAATTTTTAAGGACGGACGGTGCTTGATGAAAATCCGTAATTGAACTGTTGCAAAACACTTCATTATTTAGTATTATATTAGTTCGGATTTCCATTGTCTAATCCCTACTAATATTATAAATGCGAATGTAAGTTTGTTTGTTACTTTAACGTCATCTAGCATTCCAGTAATGAAGTAAAGTTAGGTTGGGTTAGGCTAGGTTAGGATAGGTTATGTTAGGTTAGGAAAAACTTATAACATATTCTACAAAAACATCCTGAATTAATAATCTTCATTTTATCTTTTTAAATTGTAAGAATTGAAAATTATTTATTTTTGTTACATTGAAATATGTTTTAAAATTTGTTGTTGCAACTCAATAAAGCTTATATTAAATTTTGGAAACTTCATAATAATTTTAAAAAATTGATAATCCCAGCCAAGCATTAAAATATAGTTCTCATATTGATTCATTTCTATTGTACTGACACTTATTTAATGCCATAATATGAGAGCGAAGCCGCGTGTAAAAGCTAGTATGATATAAATTGATTTGAAATCCCCGAAAGAATCTACAAAATAAAAAGAGATCATCGCTAACACCGCACCACAGTAAGCCCCCTCACTTGTATGGACTACCCAAAATCCACAAGAAGGATGTTCCGCTCAGACCGATCATTAGATCCAGAGATTCAGCTTCTCAAAACTTGTCCAGATTTTTACTACCAATAATAAAACCACTGCAAGGATAAACAGCATCTTTTTTGAAGAATTCAAGGCATTTTGTCGAAGTACTAGGGGCAATCGAATTCACAGAGCAGGATCAACTGATCAGTCTCAACGTGGAAAGCCTCTACACCAACGTTCCTGTCGAAGAAGCTCTTCAAATCATACAGAGGAAGCTATCCGAAGTCCTTCCATCACTTTCACAATGAAGAAGGAAGTCCACAACGAATTGCCATTCTTAGACGTATTGGTGAAGAGGACTGACACTAGATGGGAAATATCTGTATACCGAAAACCCACTCACACAGGACAGTATCTGAACCAGAAATCCAACCGTCACCAATCGACTAATAGAGGAATCATCAAGACTCTAGTAGACCGTGCTTTTGGGCTCTGTGATACAAAGGAAGGTCTCGAAAAGGAACTAGGCATCATCAAAAATGACCTTCAACGGATCGGTTACTCCAAAGTGATGGTAGAACAGGCCTTAGCTAGAAGACAGCAAGAACTTCACAAGGAAGAGAAGCCGCCACAACCATTACTTATCGGAAAGGATAAGAAGGATTGGGTCGAAGTATAACATCAGGACGTGCTTCAGATCTGGGAACACTATCCGTAGCAGCCTCACGAAAACCAGACCACCAAACGCGGACTGCGATTCCAAGAATTGCATCTACCCTGCGAGTGCGGAGAACTCAAAGAAGCTGCAAATATGTTGTCCAACAACGCATTCAGCCAAGCTAGTGTAGAGATACGCATGTTGTCCAACAACGCATTCAGCCAAGCTAGTGTAGAGATACGCAACATACGGAAACCTATAATCAAGAGGAACACGACCAACTCCCGCCAAACGGTCACCTCCCGCTAAAACCGATGAATCGGAGAGAGGAAATAGGTGAAAGCACTCGAATGACATATAAATAGTCAGATCTCGGAGACGATTGTGGGTACTAACAATCGAAACGTCGTGAAGTAACTTGGCTTGGAATTTTTTAATTTTCATTTCTTGTCTTTTCTTTCTTGAACCTGGTCAGTTTTTAATTGGAATTGTTAATAATTTTTAATTTTTATCTCGTGTTAATAGTTCAATTTTTTGATTGTTGCTTGTATTTTATTTCATTGTGATTTCAGTTTTTTTGCTCAATATAATTGTTTTTTTTCAGCTAATCTTTTTAATTTTTTATATATTCTTTCACGTATTTCAAATCAATTTATATTGTTGTAAATCACGCCCGAAAGGAAATAACGCCGGCCGCCACTGGAAACCAAACGTGACGTAGCTGAGAGCGTGGGAATATCCAATGTTACCTGCCGCTCGATAAGCCGCAAGAAACGCTACCGATGTCGATGGAACTTCGGCGAAAATTCTACGATGTTTCATTGCGATATTTAAACGCTGGCTGCAGGCGTATTCGGACAGTCAAGTACAGAGTGAAGTGAACGTTACAGTGCGGTACGCGAAGTGATCTAGTAAGGCGATAGACAGTCAAATAACAGTTGAAATTTTCAGTTGAAGTGTTTGTTGTATTTCAAGTGAAATAAATTTAAGTTTGATTATTCAGTGTAGTCAATTATTGGTGAAACCACAGGTAAAAACGTAACAATATTATAGTAGACAATGGAAGTCCGAACTAATGAAATACACCACTAAACATTGTCAAACACCTTCAAACAAACTTCATTGTTTGTGTTTAGGATAAAAGAGAATTTCAGATGTACCAACAGCTTGGTACATCTGGAAAGAGGCATCAAAGTTGGAGGTGTTTGGCATGTTTGACGATTTTCTACAACCAAAAAATATGGATCAAAGAATTTGCATCAACCTTTGTGTAAAAAATGGAATTGAGTGCTCGAAAAAACACTTGAAACTTGTGAAATTGCAGTGGCATACTGCGATTGTACTCCGAGTCAGAAAAATGTTTACGTGGACTTTCAAATGAGGCAGTAACACCAGAAAACATAAAAAAATCCACAAAATTGTTTTGAATTATCGAAAAGTGAAGTTGCGTGAATTGGCCGACATTGCAAAGATATCAAAAGACGGTGTTGGCTTTATATTGCATGAGCATTTGACTATGAGAAAGCTCTGTCCAAAGTGAGTGCCACGAGAGCTCACTGTTGACCAAAAACAAGAATGTCTTGGTGATTCTGAGCAGTGATTGGCCATTTTTAAACAAAATGCAACGAATCTGAAGCCCGCCCTGACCGATATCTCAGCCAGCAAACGCATGACATCACCGCGAAAAAAGCAATCTGACTCGCCGGGAAAATACTAATAGGCGAGTACAGAAACCACTAGATAAATCTAGAACGATCGTTACCGATATATAAGCCCTGCTTCCCGTCCAGAGAGGGAGTCTGTATTCAAAAAGCGAATCAAGCGGTTAAACAAAGAATTCGAACAGCGAAGATAAATTAAGCGTTACTTGTTAAGTGTTGAATATAAATTAGTTGTGATAGTGAATTATTGTTAAAAATAAATTTGTTTAAGACAGTTAATTCTTTAATTCGTTATAATAACAAACCGGAATTTTTACGTTGATATGTAACGATGGATGAAACACAGATCCATCACTTTACTCCTGAATCAAAACGATCGTCATCTGAACAGAGAGCGACTGGTGAACCTCGCCCAAAGCGCCTGAAAGCACAACAATCGTCTGGAAAGATTATGGCCTCGGTATTTTGGGATGTGCAAGATGCAGTATTCGTTGTCTAGCTTGAGAAAGGAAATACCATCAACAGTGAATATTATATAGCGTTATTGGGACTTTTGAAGGCCGCAAACGGCAAAGAAAAAAAAGTTGTTTCATCAAGACAACGTACCGCATCACAAGTCGATCAAAACGATGGCAAAACTACATGATTTGAACTGGCTGTTCGCAGATCTCAAAACAATGCTCACCGGTAAGAAATTTCTCTCGAATAAAGAGGTTATTGCTGAAACTGACGCCTGGAGGTTACACTGACGAATAAAGCCAATTCTGAACAAAAAAAGCCTGTTTTTTCTTTGTCCCGGGACTGTTCAGTCCAGGTGTTACTTACCCTACTACATCTGCTAAGCCATCGACTGTAGCGACTTTACTATGGTAAGTCGTTTCCAGTGCCAAAACACCATCCATTACTTTGTCAGGTTTGCAATTACCATTGAGCAGAGGTGCGGTTAATCCTAAAACCCTTGGAGGTTCTACCAGGGTTCCAAAAGATTTCATAAGTTGGCGCATTGAATGGTCATTGACCCCTCTGTGACATTCGTCGAAGATCAAAAGATTTACTCTATTGAGATCTAGAAGAGCCAATAAGAAATTATGGGACATTCAAGTGTAATATTTCATAAGTATCACACAAGCATATATGTGAATTGTCCAGCTATAAATACAAGAAGTTGCAGTGAAAGACAGTTACACAGATTTTTGTGTACACACAAAACATAACATATAATAGAAATAATAGAATTTATAACTATGTTTCTGTTACCAATTCAAAAAAGAGCTTCAAAAAGTGACTACCATTTCTACTGATAATGTGGAAAGGTTTCGGATAGGAAAACTCAGTTGCAAACTTTAATATTAACTAAGCTCTCAAGTAACTGGATTCCTTGATACACCCTGATATTCTTTTTTATTTTCATTTCACATTATTCATTCATCCATGATTTGTTATTTCTGTACTTGTATCCTTTAAACTGTATACAGTGTGTAAAAGCCAAATGGAATGAATTCATTATTTCGGTTACGGTATACGTCAAATTTAAATTATAATTTGACATACTTCAACGGAAAAATGCTACACCTACCTTCAACCCCCGTCGAATGGCAGGTACAATCAAAGGTTCTTTTTAGATGGTATCCTTTAAATAACTGTAAATAGTTTCCTTGGCAACGTTACTTTAAAATGACTTGTCAACTTGTTTTCTATGTTACAACATTAGTTGCCAGTATTTGAATTTAAGTTCAAAGTTCGTTAACTTCAAGTCTGACAAATGGTTACATTAACGGAAATGCATAAAATAACAGTTTTACAAATGATTGGTTACAGAGATAAAACATGAATACAACAAGGAAGTAGCTCGCCTATTTCATGAGAAATTTTCTAATTTACCGCCCAAGGAACAATAAGCGAAATAGAGCAGTTTCGCCAGCTTGGTCATGTGAGGCAGATAAAAAAAGCAGCTGCCATTGCAATGAGTGATGAACTCAAATTAGATGTGATGTTTGAGTTTGAAGAAAACCCACATACATCAAGTAGACAGGCATCCACTACATTCAGTGTTAGCCATACATATTATTAGAAATAACATTACATATTGAAAGAAAATAAAATACATTCCTATAAAATGATACCTACTCAGGAAATCATGGAAAACGATTTTGACAGTAGCACAAACATATTGACTTATCAATAGTGAAAATGTCAAAAATTTGACTGTATTTACACAGATTCCTAAAACAATCGGTAGAGCAAATTATAAACTTATTATTGAAAAACTTAGGTCTTTAGGAATTGAGGATAGTATAGCTGCTTGGCTTATGGGTTTTTTCACTGGCAAAAGTCAGAAAGACAGGATCAGTAACTACATATCAGACTGAATTCCTGTTCACTAGGATGTCCCACAAGGTTCACACTGTGGACCTTTACAATCCAACTTGTTCGTTAATGACTCAACTGATGTACTTATCAATAGAAGTCAAAGGTACGGACTTGTTTTCAAATATTGGCCTCATCAAAAAAACTATTGCAAAGAGTACTATAGCATATACTTACCAATAAAGTTTTGATTGTTTAAGTTGACCAAAATTTGACTGGTCATTATCAATACTTGGTTATTATCAAATTCATCATTCCACCTATCTTTCCTCCAAGCATCGACATTCATTTCACCTGTATATCGTCCCACAGAGAAATGGGTGTGCTGAAGAATATATCCGGCATGTTGGTCTACTAATGCCACTGTGTTGACCAAAATTATGGAGATCTTTCCTCCTTCAGAATAAGGTCTGAAAATTGTGACCAAAGGATTCAATCAAATCATAAACTGTGACAAAAAATAAGATACTTATAATAAAATATATGAAGCAGGAAAAAGCAAAAATGTCATTGATATATTGTTACTAGGTTGTTTCAAAAGTTTTGTTAGTTTTCAAGCCATGTGTTTTTGTAGCTCCATATTTGTACTAAAGTTGTAAGCACAAAAGTTCTAATGAGACCCCATTAAGGATAATTCATTCTGCCTTATAATTTCAGTTTTCATTATATTAATGAATCAATACAGAATCCATAAATCGAAATAACATACTTACTTCAAAAGGCTCTGGCTCATCTGTTTTAAAATCATAAGGGCTATGAATGTCTTTCCTGATCCTGTGGGTAAGAATATTATGGTATTTTTATCTATACCTATTTTCATCAATTCCACTTGATAGTTCCTGGGAGTGAAATCACTCATTTTGGGTAATACAAAATGACAGAAAACGTATCGAAAAATCACCCAACAAGAAACTTGAAATTCGGGGAAACCCAACTAAAAATATGTTTCCCAATTATCATTTATTGCTCCACTAGACATCATTTCTGGCAAGACACATTTCCTATAAGCGATACGTATTCAGTTAGTACAAAAACAGTACTTCAGTTAATTTTTTTAACAAAAAAAATAATAAATTTGTTCCAATTTGGTTAGAAAGACTTTCTCCCTCTCGCCTCACTTTTTTATCTGACGTCTGACTCAGTTGACGCAGTAAAGCAAACTCAACTATTCAGCTGTCGACCAATTATAAATACATTCAAATGAAAGTCGTATTTTTACGATCTGTAGAAATAAGGTTGACGTCATAATTCAAGATCCTAGCGGAACATTATGTGATGTTAACAAGATAATATTATAACAGTAGTTATAATTTTGCCTTGTAGTGCGAAATTCGAAATCTTCTATAATTGTAGACATAACTATGTAGTGGTTCTAGAGAAGTTCATCGTCCATGTACGACATCTACGGAAAATATCAGATCCAAGTCAAACGGTAAAACGATAAGGAAGCCCCGTCAGCTGTTAACGAATCACTGTAGATTTTGTTAGTTTCAATAATGAACAGTTACCTTTCTTGATGTTTTCTAATTATTTTACATGTACACAAATCACAGTTGAATTGTCGTTGTCATTAAGGAGGTGAGTTTTGAGAAATATAAAAAATATTTTGTGAATGAATGCAATTGCATATTAAAACTTGCTCGTTACTTCTGATTCTTTTTCGGAAATAATTTTTGATTTTGTCAAAAATATAAGATACTTTTTGACAAAACTCAAATAGATCAATAATTAAAAAAGTTTTCCATAGGTTCCAACTGTTAGAGACATACTATATAGTAACCAATTGACTCGTTTGCTTACATACAACACAAAAGTCATGTTTTTTCCCATGCGAAAGGCTTGAATTTTCTTTTATACATATTCAACTATCTATTGATGAATATAACATTATAGAAATAATGAATATTTTCGTTGAATTTTTTAATTTTTAGAAATCCTAAATATTTTCGAAGGAATTGACTGCGAGTTTATTGTGAGATTAACACTTAACAGTTCACAAAACCGCTACACGAGTTACAATTTGGCCCTTCAACACTTTTATTAATTTCAATTACAATAGAAATTGGTTAATGGATATAATTAACTTCAAAAATGGAGAGTAATTGTATTATTCTTGCGGAGAAGTGTGAATATTTCAAAGGGAACTCAACTAGGAAAGAAAATCCACATTATGAAACATTCACTACTATCTAGATGGATCTCTTGGTAAATGACATACTTAAGAAGTATACAAAACGATCTAAAAAACGCAAAACAACTTCTCTAGAATTATAAAATGTGCAATTCAGTTCAACAAGTACATAACCCTAAATGAAGCTGTGAAAAATGCTTGGAATAATAAATAAAACAGTAATTTTTTCACGAAACAAAATTTTAAGAGCCGAACTTTTGAATCTTCCAAAAAACGTATTTCTGGCGGTATGTGGTGGACTTAGTTCCAATTTTTCGCAGTGAGGGCCTTTTGATTGTCAAAATACTATGCATATTAAAGAACGTTTTTTTATAATTCTTGATAAAGATGCAGATATTTGGTGTGATTTTTTTATTATTGATAATTCATCATTGATAAGTCTATTGAATTTTTTTTTGATAATTTAATTTTGATTTTCAAATATTTTAAATGAAGAAGATTTCAGAGAAATGTCTCACTATGTTTGAAATATTTGAGAACCATATCAATCATTTGAAAGAATAAAAAAAATACACTGTTAGTTCCCAATTGAGAAGTTTCATGATTTGGGTTTGCGCAACTGATTCTGAATTTATCTCTCTCTCATCCTGGCCATTGCTCTGTCTTTTTTTAGCATGACCGAATAAATCGAACGAAGAAAACTGCAGAAAATTCCAGAATATACAATTTACATCACTTCGCCTCGTGTCTAGTCTTTGTGCGTTGTACGTGATAGTTCACGTTTAACGGGTCTACAGTGTGGATCAAAGTTTTACTAGAAAATACTTACCAAAGATTAGCGCTCGTCGTTGAAGGTTGAAGTCTGCAGTATTGATTAATTTGCCAGAGGTGAGTTAGCATTTTTTATGATATAATAAACGATTTTGACATTTTTGTCACCCATTCCCTTGGGATGTTCTAGAATAAGCAAACAGTATTATGGTAAAGGAAACCAAATTTTACGACATCTTGGGCGTCAAGCCCGGATGTTCCAACGATGATTTGAAGAAAGCTTATAGAAAACTAGCACTGAAATACCACCCCGATAAAAATCCGAATGAAGGAGAAAAGTTCAAACAAATCTCGCAAGCCTACGAAGTCCTCTCCGATCCAGAGAAGAAAAAAATTTATGACCAAGGGGGTGAACAGGCCCTCAAAGAGGGTGGCTCTGGCGGCGGATTCTCCAGTCCGATGGACCTGTTTGATATGTTCTTCAGCGGCGGATTCGGGGGTCCCAGGGCGAGGAGGAGGGAAAGAAGGGGCAAGGACGTGGTTCATCAGCTGACCGTGACTCTCGAAGAACTTTACAAAGGGGCCGTTAGGAAATTAGCTTTACAAAAGAACATTATTTGTGATAAATGCGAAGGCCGTGGAGGAAAGAAGGGGGCTGTAGAGCAGTGCCCCACTTGCAGAGGTAGCGGCATGCAGGTGCAGGTTCAGCAGTTAGGGCCAGGTAACTTTTACTCCTCACTTTACTATTCAATATTTTTTTCGTTATTGGTGTTTTGGGTTTTATGAAATAGTGCTTATTTATTTCATCATCACTGACAAGTGTCCGCAACGTTCTTAACCTAATTATAGAATAGGAAGTTAATCACCAGTGGGTGATTTCACAAGAGGAAATTATGAATAACAACATGAAATAATGATGGCAGGTGCTACTTAATTTGATATAATCCGCTTCTCAAGCTAGCAAATCTAAAGAAGCACCCTCAAAATAGTTTGTTCTTACAAATAAAATACAAAATCTGTAAGACTTCTATCTTTTATATGCAGGTACATTAAAGTTGATTTATGACAAATTCAAAATACACTTTATTGTTAAGAATAAATTCTTATTGATAAAGCCTCGTGAGAAATATAAATAACATAAATGAATTCACAAAAGTAAAATACAAAAAGTAAGTGATAACATGAACTTTAAAAGAACATGTAAATAACAATAACCTGATAAAAACGTTTAGGATATAAGAACAAGGTCAATAAAATGTAATAAATCACTTGAAATTAAATTGAATCAAAACAAATCAAATCAATAAAATACCTTAGATATTACAGCTAGTCATACTCAATTAAAATTATCATCGTAGAATTCTGATAAGCTATAATAAGGTCTCACAGAAAGCAAGTCTTTCTTAAGAGTGCTAAGGTCATTTATGATTCTTATAGCTTGAGGAAATTGAACATTTTGAGACCGCTATAAATAATGGAGCCTTTAACTAGGGTCGAAGAAGGCAGCGGTAATTTGAAGCCTTTGCCTGGTTTGATACATTGGCTCGTTCAAGTTGTTAAACAAGTTCCTATTTTTAAAGGGAAGACAGATCATTTCATATATAAATAAGGAGACTACAGTTAGTATGTTCTCAAGGCTGAACTGCTGGGAACTGTTCTCTTTGCGCATGTATATTCATGTTGAAATTTGTTTGAGACAGTTTTTAGGATTTGTTTATTATTTATTTAATTTTGTTAGTTGGTGATTGAGGTTAGGTTACATTTAAACTGGATTTTCGACTACAAGGATACTCTACATAATGAAATGGGCACACACAGCAGTATTTTATCGTTTTCATCGTCATCCTCATCTTCTGACGATGATGAATCAACTTTTGGTTCGTATACTTCGTATAACTCCATAAGTACGAGAATTTTCTCTCTACAAAAAAACTTATCTACATCTTAATTTTCACTGTTGGGGATCAAAAATTCAGAGAGTTGATACCTTCTGAAAAATATTTTGTTAATAATTATATAATTTTCATTTTCACTTGGTTTTTACTTGACATGGTTGCAAAAATGATAAAGAAAATGAAAAAAATAAACAACACTGAAGAAACGCCCAAGAAACATTTAAAGTTGCCTGCCTGCTTGCCAAACTGAAACTCTTCATATATACGATAGATGGCGCAAGTGGTCTCCTTAAAATGCGTTCTGGTTTAAACAAATGTCCGAGACTATCTCGGTCTGTTTGGGATTTTTTGCTTCTACGCAGTTTCCAAACATTTTTGGACGTTGAAACCAGACCAAACTTAGGAATCATCTATATTGCTTTGCAGCATTGTTGCATGTTGCATGAGCATTGTTGCCAACTATGATTAGTCAAATTACCCACAAGTGTGTCTGAAACTATGAGATTTTTGCCAACATTTTCAAAAAGTCTGCGTTTTAGATTAAAATGTAAGTTGAAAGCAAGGAATGTCAAATCACCTTGTCGATATGATATGTATAAATTTCAGATTTTAATGATGATTTGTAACGATTCCAGGTATGCTGCAACAAATCCAGAGCGTTTGCTCCGATTGTCGAGGTCAGGGAGAAAGGATCAACCCGAAAGATCGTTGCAAGCAGTGCTTGGGTAAGAAGGTAGTTCGAGATCGAAAGGTACTCGAAGTTCACATAGACAAGGGCATGACCGATGGTCAGAAAATCATATTCAACGGCGAAGGTGACCAGGAACCTGAACTGGAAGCGGGTGATATTATAATTGTGTTGGACGAAAAGGAACATCCTCTCTATAAGCGATCTGGAAACGATCTGATCTTGAGGATGGAGATCCAGCTGGTGGAGGCTTTGTGTGGCTTCCAGAAATTGATCAAGACCCTGGATGATCGAGATCTTGTGATAACCAATCTGCCGGGAGAGGTCATTAAACACGGGGATGTGAAATGCATCATGAACGAAGGTGAGGGTCAACTTTAAACCTTGTCATTAAATCAATGTCGTGTAATATTCTTTTTAACTTTTTGTATTATAATATTTCGATGATGAAATCTGCCAAAGACTCATCCATATCTATTATCCTCAACAGGTATGCCGCAGTACAAGAACCCCTTCGAAAAGGGACGTCTGATTGTCCAGTTCTGGGTGCAGTTCCCCAAAACTCTACCCCCAGAAATAATCCCGGCTCTGGAAAATGCCCTACCCCCGCGACAGGAATTCATGATCCCTGATCATGCCGAAGAAGTGGAACTCGTCGACTTTGATCCCGAGCAGGAGGCACGCAAGCGCCAGCACAGGAATGCTTATGAGGAAGACGACGAAATGCACGGACCTGGACAGAGAGTGCAGTGCGCTACTAACTAAAAATCACCCATCTCATTCGTGTTTGGGCATCACTGTTTTCGAAGGTTGTATACTTGGAAGAACTGGCGTTGATTAGTGCCGGATCAGAAAAGAGGGGGGTAACGTTGTTGCTAATCTACTTTGGCCCAGTGTGGTATTTTGTAATGCGTGGCAAAATATTCTCCCTAGTTTTTAGGTTGTTTTTCTATGTGTACGATCTTCGAAGCCTCTATTATTCCAAGGGTATTTATTATACTTCTAGCACTCCTTTTAAAATAAATTTAGAATAAATGGGACTTTAGTTAATTAAATTGATCATTGAATTTTCATATTGGGTATACTATAATAATTTATTCAAGTGTCTGTGTAATTGCGATGTGACCTAGATTTACGAATTAGTCTATACACTAATTGAGGTCTACTGCCTGATAATTGTTGAGTACAGTTATTTTTAAGAAGGCATGATTTTTTTTTCTATCAACAGCAAATTTTGTAGTATATGTCTAGACGAACCTCCGAAGAATTATGTTTGCTGCACGTTGGACAGACAAACGAATCTTGGGAGGTTGGCCTGTTACTGTACAAAGCCCCGAATGAGAAAGTTTCAGTTGAAATTTAGGATCTCACATTTTACTGGTACTTTTTTTTGAGTTCAATAAATTGTATCATTGAGGGTTGTGTTTCATTTCCAAATGTTGCATTCGTAATTTTACTGAGAACCACTGATAACGGTGTATGGCAGATTGAAATCCCCGTCGAACAGTGAGTCATGAATTTAGCCTTTTTTGATCTGATTGACTGTCGGTTATGAATGCTGCGGAGACGGAAAATTGCTCTCTATTTGGTGCTCCTCGTCAAAACCAAGCATTACAACTACAGTTGTCCACTTGTCCATTATGGAAGCATCATAATTTTGTTACTGGGACTGCAGGACTGCAGAAAACAACAACCTCGTGGGTTTTTTGCGTCTGGTCTCCCATTTTTTCATGCCGCCCGTTCTGACAATGGGGAATGTTCCTCAATTTGGGTTATTACAGCAAATGCAAGTTTGAACAAAATAAAGTTGAGTTCAATTCACGAGTTTTTCAAATTCACTTCGAAAAGTATTCAAATTGATGTTTCAAATGTTGGATTTTAATTTTTAAAGGGATTTGTTTCTAATTCACATATTGGCAATAGCACCTTTACCAAGTTGAAATAATTTATACGTACCTAGATATTCTACTTTTAAAAAGGAAAATAATCTTTATAAATCAACAATTAAGGCAAAAACAACAGTTGTTTTGTTATTTATTTATATAGAGGAAGATAGGTAGGTGCACAAAATGTCATATGTCACAGAATGTCTCGGAACATAAGTAAACAGAACAGCACGCCTCTGAAATATGTCACCTTTGTTTGTCGCGTACAGGTAACAGATTCATTGTCCTTTATTAACTATAACCGATGTTGCCAAATGGTGAAATAGAAACGAATTCCTTTAAATGTTGAATGCATTATTTCATTCCTCTTTTTTAAGTATTTAAATAATTTTCTGACAAAAAGGTTGAAATGATAAGTTTGAAATGCGTTGTTTTAGATTTCTTTTATGAAAACTACTTGATTTTAGTCAGAAGGAACATTCCCCATTTTGTTTTCTTCACTAGTTTTTACAGGTCCTTAGTTGACCGTTTTGTTTATTGACCAAAATCACATAAAAATGATTGTTCTACACGTCTCGGTCAGTTTGGGGTGTTTCATGGTTGGCAACACTGATTTGACATCTAATAATAGTGAGAAGACTTAATTTAGGGGATATAATATGAAAAAGGGGATTTTTGGGGGAATTTTTTTTGGGGAGAAAATGAATAACTGATATCGACACAAATAAAGAACAGGAAGCTGATGAGTTTTTCGAAATTATTAATGAATTGGGAATTAATTTAGTATAAGTATTCATTCTCATATATGTACAATACCCTTTTTATTTAAAACTTCGTTATAATAAGAATATGAAGGTAAGTTAATCTATTAACTTGTTGAATGTTATAGCAACTTTGAATATTTAATTAGATATTTCATTTACTAAAAAAATTGGGGTATCTTGGTTTGAATTTATTGGGTTTTAAAATAGGCTTAGGGAAAAAGATTTTGAGCAGTTGGCATCACTGGAAGAAGGCAATTAGTGTTTAAATTTATTCGCCTGAGTTCCGTGGTAGTCTCCGGTTAGTTTTTAGGAGATCTCATGCAAAAATTCAGTTAGGAAAGTCAAGATAAAACAATACAATAGATCAGAAAGTAAAATCACATAGAGGCTGACTTTCGACTGAAGAAGGTCCAATGTCAATCTTGCTGAAGTGCCCATCAGTAAGTTGAAGACCGCTCCGGAGGAACGGGGTTGGATGGACGAGATAGGATGTTCTGCACACATCAACCGTGTGCAGGGCACTCAACTCCTGGAGACCCTGCGGGGTTCTAGAAGAATTCCAAGGAAGAATCTTTAGTTTCCCCCAGCCTAGCTCCTAGGAGCCCTGGAGGACATCCAGGAGCGATTCTAGGACATTATGGCCAGTTCCCGCTGACGATTAGATAGTGGACAGCCCCCTCAAGTGTTACTTATTCACCCATTTGACCACCAGCTACTGCATTCGGACCTAAACTCACCATTACCCCTTAGATATACTAACATAGATTAAGATAAATATATTATTGTAAATAACACAGCCTCTGATGAGGCATAAGCCTAAAGCAGGGCCCCTCACAGTCTCATGTGATAACACCAATTCATTATAAAAATCATAGATGAACGTCTTGAACTTCCGTGGTGGCAGACAATCGTGCTGGCAACGTCGCCCACAAATAAGGTACGAGAATGTTAAGTGCCATCGCGGGGCTCTTTTATATGTAGCGAAAGTCTGACACAAAAATAAACTACATATGTGAAGTGAACGTATCATTAAATGTGAAGTGAGGGTCCCCTTTATTCACGCCGGTATCCAGGCCGGAGTGGTTCGGATATACACGTAAAGGCGGCCATGCATGTGGCATTGCTTTGCAACACTGTCGCCTCTCCCACGAGGAATGTTGACAGGAGGAAATTGGCTAAACGCGCCCAAGGAGGAAGCAACGGCAAAACATAGAGGGAGAGAGAGAAAAATGAATCCCCTCAGTTAAAGTCATTCAAGGTCGTCTACATCTCCCATTACGAAGACGCCACCTATGGGATGGAATCCCATAGAAAAAGATCTCTATGCATTGTTTGGGCGCTGGTTTTCAAGTTGCCTTGCAGGCAAAATCATCAGAAACAATATTGAGGGTATTAAAATTGTTCAATTCTGATTCATTCGTCTTCAAATGTTCATAGTGCTACGATCTTTGCCTTCATCTTGGGTACTTGACATTTCCCATAGATGGAAAGGGAAATCCCCTATTCGATTTAAAGGAAGGGGAATATGAATTGATGCATTTTCATAATCTGCTACTTTTTTTATTTTTTCGAGACTAAGTATGGAAATTAAAATATTTATGCGAGATTTTTGTTTCATTTAGTCATTTTCAATGAATAATGCATAAAAGTGGGTAGATGTGGGTTCTCATCAAAACACTCCATAATGCTTCTCTTTATATTTTATAGGTTGTTATATAATTTGTATATCAACAGTATCCCATTGAATGTTACCAAAAGAAACATTTTGAATTAAAATGTAACAGCATTCAGGTTCACTTCTATGACAAAAAATCCCAAATTTTCTTCCATTACAGAGGTTAAGATTCAGCGATAAATCAGATATGATGTTATTCTTCTTGCATACCACATTGTTCGATGCTTCATGTTTCAACCACAACAGGCGCTTCATCCTCCTCTTCTGAATTCAAATGTTCAAAGTCCCACAAATACTTTTCTGTCAAACTTTTTCTCAGTCTGTCTGCTTTGGTTTTCAAAATGCCATCAACCTGAGAAGCCTGTATAGATCCAAACAACCTTCTCAGTTTCATATAGACAAAATTGTCATTTGCAACTATGTCTGCTAAAAACTCTTCCGGAATTTCAGCTACGTGAACTTCAATGATGGATAGAAACATGTCATACAGCCTTCGATGCTTCTTGATGGCGATTTCACAGGAACAGAATAAATTGACCAACTTTTTCCAATGTTCGAATGCTTCCAGGCTGTGTCCTACTAGGAAACAGATGTAGCAAGCTTGCAGTTCTCCCAGGATGTCGGAGGGACTGAAATTTCATATTCAAAAACCATAATTTCCAAAACAAAGATTTCAAGTATCATATATAATTTCAAATAAAATTCCTTCACGAAACTATTAGCTTGTTTTGATGTCATGTGTTTTTGTAGCTCCATATCTCAATAAATATTCATTCTACTGTGTCTTTGTACATACTAATCGATAAAGAATTTCTAAGTATACAAATTCAAAGCATACAACCATATGTGCCAAAACACATTGAAATTCAGTGACGTCAGAAGTCTGAGTCATTGACATTACAGTGTTGCCAATTGTGAATATTAGTATGTACATTCAAACTTCATAATCTGAAGTATTTATGCGGTGCAAAAGTTTCTGTGGGTTGGCAACACTGGCACAGTGTTTTTTAGTTTCAACCTATTGGATATCGAATAGAGTGTCTTCTATTCGACTGGTAACAACTCATTTACTGCAATTATTCTTTCTGCTCAATCTTTAATATCAAAAAATTGAAATATTTTTGAATCTTGAGTAAAAATTATCATTTTTGTCAACACATTAGGTTTTTGCAAACTAGAAATGGCGAGTTTTGACTTCCGATAGTTCTTGTTAACGGAGAGTCAAAACTCAGTGTTCCGAATACTGACAAAAAACAAAAGTCAATTCAACACTTACTTTTGATACGAGGTCAAAACTTGGTCAAGCACATACGTTGAATCCAAAGAGTGTCTTGTTATCTCTGCGGGAGTAGATCCTGCTGGGTAGTTTTTTTCAGGAAAAGCTGTAAACCTGAGCTCAGTTCCCGCCAATGGTTTCAATTCTGGTAGGAACCTTTCCTCGAAATCATCCGATAATCTCGATCTTTTTGAGTTTGTGCTGGTACCTCCAGGGGAATGTTCACTTTTGGATTTTCCACGTGGTCGGTCTGCATCACTACAAGAAACCAATTCTAGTGCTGACTGGATGTAACCAGAAAGTGGGGTTAATTTTTCAATCAAGCTTTCTGCAAAATGAAACAAATGTAACAATTCTTGTGAAGACGTCTTGAATATGTCTACAAATGAAGTCAAGTAATACAAGATAATTCAAGGAAAACTAATGCTGAGCTTACACCAGCGCATCTGATTTTCATGAAAGTACTGTTAAACTCATTCAATATAATCTTTTTTAATAACGAGCTTACCCAATTTACAAAATATGACATTGAAAGTTGAATGAACTTCAAGAAAAATTGCCCACCTGTGATACTGGAACTTAAATTCAACCATTTATCCTTGATTGCATACGGATATGGGCCTAGGAAGTCATCTAACGCCATAATATTATCCTTGAGATTAACCACTTCATCCTCCGATACTGTTTCTACACTTATACATTCATTTTTTACATCCCATTTCTTTACGAAAACTTCAGATTTTCTGAAATTTTTGAAAAACCCAGTTCTGGGTGCTGTATCACCTTCCTCAGAAACAGCACTGAAAAATATGAAATGTATTCCCGGGGGGATCATTTTAACACCCCTGAATTTGTCTCCTGTGTTCCAGGATTTCATGTCAATACCAAATTCGGTACCTTCTGGAACTCCAAGTAATATAAAGAAAGCTCCCTCCGCTAGCAACTTTTTTGCTGTTGGTTGGTCCATTTATTCGGTATGGAGTATTCTGCAAATTTCTCGAAAATTTACTTCAATGTTTACATTATTATAAAATCTTATTTCGAGGTTGTGTTCTTCATCTCGATATGGTTCTTCTTATTTTTTTCGATTCAATGGCCTCAGCAACTAAGGCTATTTGGCCAGTTGGTAACGAACGTTGTTGTAAAAGCCAAATGTGGCCACATTCAAGTGGATCTGGGGTGGGCCCATCCACATTTGGGTTGAAATTACTATCCGCAAACTTGTCAAGCATGGCAATCTGAAAATAATCCAGTTATATCAAACAGCCGAAAACAGTGGTTGTCCATGCACTACGAAAGCATCGCACTAGCAAGCACATAGTTTGTTCGCAATGTAAGCACAGAATCTTTTCGTTACAGCTTGAGATGGGATTAGGTAAGAAAAGAATGTAAGGTCTAAGTTATGAATATTTAAATGTTCAAGTAAAATATCATGTAACGACAGCGGGCCCTGTTGCTTATTCATTCTGATTCGCTTCTCGCTGTAGAATTTCAAGTATATTATAATTTACTCAAATTTAAATTTGTTAATATAGAGCATATGTACGTACAAGGGATAAATATGAAATTCAACTCATATTTATGATGAGTTGAATAATTAATAGGTAGAATTGTAACCAGAACTGAATACTGTTCTTAACGCGCGTATAACTTATTGTCTTTCGTTCCCATTGTTCCTAAAGTTACTACGACCTGTTATGATTCCCAACCTTTAGCTGTTTTCTACCTGGAATTATTAAGGGACCTTCCTTGATGTTTAATTTCTAAACCCGTGAATGTATCTGAACACCTGCTGTCATATAACGTTCCCAAGAATTTTGTGCATTCTTCACTCATTCTTTGGTCGTGAATAATATTCTTTGTAGTTCCACTTTATTCTGAGATTTTCACCAAACAGTTTTACAAAAAAGCGTGTTTTCAAAAGTACTATAGATGAAATTTTTCAGTTTTAATATATTCTACTCGTATCATAAAATAAAAACATCTTGTTCGTTTCATTTTCAACATAATTATATAGGAACTCATACTATATGTAAATCTGGTTGTCCAACCTTCAAATGAATAATAACATATAATCATCCGGCAAGGACAAAGACTAGTGATTATTTAATTTCGGACTATGATAACTTGTCTTCAATAATTCGTTTTTCGATTAGGTATGATCTGATATATTATTAATGTTTCGACTACATGAACTTTCACAAACTATATGTCTAATTCTGGATAACTTCGATCAATTTTTTACAATACCTGGATTGGTAGATGGGATCATGAATCACTGTGTATATACCCATCAAATAACCTTGATGGAAGATAATGACTTCAAAACACGGTATCTTACGGCAGAGATGCTACATAATAAACCAGTTATGATAGAACGTTATATGCATAGGCGTTTGTAAATTTCTCACAGTTCATCGTTTACCATTTCGTGTTGTATTCGTATGAGAACCGTGAGTCTACGATTTTCCTTATCTACATTTAGTTGTTTGAGTAATCGTTTCGCTTGAATAATTTAGATAACTTTGAACTGATGATAGCCCCTTGTTGAAGACTGACCCTGAAGGTTTCATTTACCCTTTGCAAAACTCTGAAAATATTTTAAAATAATATACAGTGTGTGATACCGGAAAAGAAACGGATAGAATATTTTTAAAACACTTTTGTTGAGAATAAAAATATTTAGGTGTATTTCGGTGACTCGGTGACAATCATTTGAATATATACTAAAAGGACATCACTGAAAAGGTAATTATATGAGGAATCAATCTATGTGACTGTTCACTATGTAACTTTCCATTATGTCATCAAGCTACTCCAGAAATGCTCTGAAACGTCAGACAACGTTTCGAGACTAACTTATGCTCATCAATGATAGTTAATAGTGAATAGTTAGAGCATCTACTGAGAATTGATTCAGTTTGGAATTATGAAAATCATGCACGGCTTTACGTCTTTTGGGATCATAATATTAAGTTGATTCAAAAGTTTCGTTCGTTTTAACGTTATGTGTTTTTGTAGCTCCATTTCTTAATAAGTATTTATTCTACCGTGTTGTGGTATATACTGATCGATAGAGAATGTTGTACTCTATACAGTGATTATGTTCATTTTTTCCAAATTTATATTTTTCGCCCTTCTCAGCTCATTACTATATGATGTCGTTAAGCCGATTTTTCTTTACGAATTCAAATTGAGGCGAAGCGCTACCGAAACAGCCCGAAGGATTGATCAGACATTTGGCAAAGATAGTGTTAATGAACGCTCTGTTAGACGTCTATTTGTGAAATTTCGTTCCGGAGATTTTAGCTTCGAAGATGAGTCCCGAAGCCCTACAGTGATCCAAAACGATCCTTATTTGGATCTGATCGCCACGTCTGATAAAAAGTAGATCCTTAGTCCAAGCGGAGGGTAGTTTCTATCCGCAAAAGTTTGAGAGGAAAAGAAATTTGGTGGAATGGTAGACATAGGTCCCTTGATAGTACATCTGAGTTTGCAACTTCGGGGGTTTCCAACACCAATCCGTTATTTTAACACCTCGACACGTGTTTTGATCACCGAGTAATCTTCAAGAGGAAGATCAGTTTGATCTGCCTCTTGATCTTAGATTTGATCTGAAAAAGCCTTAAAACTCCCCAAACGGTAATTACTTACAGCTTGGCAAATCTAGATGTGCCTCTGAATATAAAATACGGAGTAGATCAGCCAGCGGAGTGGGGTGAGAGCTCATTAACATCGAGGAATTCGACTAGTGAATATCGTGTTAATAGAGTAAGTAGAGAAATTATTCTTTGTGATGAATTGTGAGTATTTCTTGTCTTTGAAAATGCCTTCTAATAGTTAACTGCAAAACAAGTAACTGAAGCCATAGGGGTTAGCATGTAAACTGTACGAAAAATCAAATCAGACATGAACAAAATTGAAAATGGTGGGAAAAACATTCCTAACTTCATATGAAAAGAGATGTATTCTATGTATATTGGTATGTTATATTCAATATTGCAAGCAATCTTTTGTAGATTATCTACCTGCTACGTTTCATAATCATTTTATGCACTGTCTATCTAAGCAACAGAGTGCTTCAAAACATTATCATGCAGAGTGCACGTGACCTCCCAGACAAGGCTGCTTGTACAGAGTCGCACTAAGGAACGACCGATTTTTTTTTAATATTATGCGGCTGGGAACAGGCCATTTATTTATTAAAGTGGAGTGTAGGGACACAAACTAGCAGTTTCTTCAAGCGTATCAGCCGTATTGACGATTTAAAAATTTCAAAATACCGTATATGTACACACCACATGCGTTAAAACATAACTGACCACTTCAACACTGTGACAAAGAATTCCGCCAGCTGATTGCAGTTAGATCTAATTGGCCAGCGTAAGCAGGCTTGTTTATTTCACCCAATAGATGCAAATGTGCGTGGTGACCATGCTTTGATCACGCATCCATCTTTGATTGGGTTACTTTGTTCGTTGGATAAATATTGTTTAGTAGCTATGCATTCAATCATCTACCAATTATCGGTTATAAGTTTATCAATTTTCTTTTATCCATTCATCTCTAATGAGAATTAAATTGCAGTCGCACCGTTTTATTAGAATTTCTCTAGAACCAGTTTGAATGTCCAAACTTCAAAAACGTCATTCAAATAACCTCTGAAATGGAAAACTTCTTAGCGACTTTGTATTTTTAGGTTTTCAATTTTCATATGTTCACCATCCGTTTTGTTGAATAAACTTATTTTTATTCTATTGTGATGCGTTAGTCTGAATATTCATTTTTCAGTTTCAGAAAAATTATGGTTTCTTTCACTGACAATTTACTTCTGGATTTATTCGGTTTACTGGTAGCGTTATCTGCTGTACTCTTTGTTTATATCAAAAGGAGTTTTCAGTATTGGGATCGAAAAGGTGTTCCATATCTACCACCTAGAATACCATGGGGAAACTTGCAGCCCCCACACAGAAGGATCATTCCATTCGGAGATGATGTAGCAAATATTTATAATAAAGCCAAGGCAAAAGGCAAGTATACCTTATTGGAACTGTGTTTGTACAAGTGTTAATGAGGGTTGGAATATTCATTGACAACGCCCCCCTTGAAAATAAAATTAACATGTCTTTTACACAATTTTCTAGGGAAGAAGTTCTCAGAATGACACCTTGTATTTTAATGTAGAAGTAAAAATCCAAAAAAGATGGTCAAGGGAATATACGGCAATTCGGTGGTAGGCAATAATGAATCATTAAAATCCCCTGAACTTGGGAGTCCCGGTATATTTATAATCTCAGTGTTTATTTTCGTCAAAAACAATGTCAAAGAACTACTGGATTTTATCGTCAGAACTTGTTGAATTAACATGTTTCTTATCATCTGACCTTGTTTTTTCATTCATATCAAAATTTATTTTCTTGCTCGGTTTCCCAAGTTGTCACGTCTTGCCAGATGAATAGTAAATCAAAACATTCATTCTATACTTCTACAGTTTGGAAGAGTATTTTGCATAAAAATTCTAGTCTTTCGGTATACCACGGTCTATATTACGATTTATGTCAAGTAATTTTAAAACTGTGTTGTTTTATTGATAACATATTTGTGAATTTTTCATTATCTTTGTTATTTTCAATTCCTTTTTTTGTCTGATATTTTTAATCTCCACTGTATTTTTGTGAATTCTATATAGTCCTAAAAAACATTTTATACATTTTTAACATTTTATGTATTCATAAACATGACACCCTTCGTCGACAAATTATATTTTAGACAATAAAGATCTATCTATCTGTAACTGAACCATGTACTAGCTGATCCCATTGTCAAGTACAAGGTTCCGAGACACACACAGGGTGTAACATCAAAAACGTACCGTAATTCATACTTCTCGGGTAAAAATTCAAACACATGTCATGTTTGTTTGTGAGAGTTGCAAGTTTTGACCCAAAAACGATTTCAAATCCTTCAACCCTTCAAGCAGGGGGCCACCGCCATTTTGATAAAATGATAAAATGGGAATGGAAGTTGACTACCTCATCAAAATGCAAATGCTGCAAATCCAATGCTGGAAATCTCGTTAGCCTCTATGAAAATACAGATTATCTTCTAACCTTAATTGATGTTGGAGCACTTGCTGTTTCAACTCGCGACATTCATTAATGACCAGGTCAGGTGACCGAGGAGGCCGTTTCCTGTCTAGTGACCTCGAAACCTGTCATTCAAATAACTAACCACATTTCGTGAGTAATGTAGGTGAAAAATAATTTTTTCTTCAATGTATACAGACCCATTTTCTGTCAAAGAGTTTATATTTAATGTATATAGGTATAGGAACTCGGCATTCACATTAGTGGTAACCAAAGGACCAGATATTATCATGGATATTATTTTACGAATTGAACTTTGTGAACTATATGTACAAATTTCAATTGCCTTTAAAAATAATCTGATTGTGATCTGTCTTCAGGTTGGAAATACATTGGGATATATGTTATGACAGGGTCAGTATTTTTACCGGTGGATTTGGAACTAATCAAACATATTATGACCAAAGATTTTCAACACTTTGTTGACAGAGGAACGTATGTTAATGAGAAAGATGAGCCAATAAGTAAGTATATCAACTACTTTTGTACTATTCCTCTAGTATTTCATTATTATCAATCTTTGATTAGAGAACTTCGATGTTGTTATAAACGACTCTATACAATCTTTTTTTTTTGATGATATACATGCATTCATTCCCAAATATGTTTTATATGGGGAATGTATACAAGAAATATTCACATCCAGTGGCGTAGCAAAGGGGGAGGGTCAGGACCCCCCGAAAATTTAAGACATATTAAAAAATAAATTAAGCATGGAGCAGGTGAAAGAAAGAAAGTTATCATTACTCAAAAATTTCTTATGTCTTTCTTTTCTTTGGCCCAATATGTCAAGATCTGTTTTCTCCTTTAAAGAATGCTCTTCGTTAAAGGCAAACATTTATTTAATTGTAACTATCTGCTTGTTCATTATTTTATGTTGATTTTCTGTTTCAAAATACCAGTTTTTGCACAGGTGCTCATCTATTCGCCATTGGAGGAAAGAAATGGAGGAACCTGAGGACCAAATTCACTCCCACGTTCACTTCAGGAAAGATGAGACACATGTTTGAGACCATAGCAAACTGCGGACTTATTCTAGAGAAGTATATAGAACATGAAGTTGATCACCACGAACCTTTGGATATAAAAACTGTTTTAGGTAATGTTTATTTTGATACATACCGGGAATTAGGAAGGTACCGGGAATCTATCATTTGAAAAACCCGCGTGATGGGATTGTCAAAGCTAGGCTGGCACAACTGTTCATATCCGTCACGTGACAACGCTAAACTGAGGTGCCATCCTGGCAGGTCATGATAGACCCTTCAGTTTTCAACTTTAGCCCACTCGAAAGGGTTTCAACTCTGTTACAGTGTTCTAATCATCTCGTTCAGTGTCAAAAACAAAACCGAGTTCAACTTCGGCTCTCTCTTGGTCGCGAATCATACAGAAAAGAGGATGCTAACTCCTAGAGGGATGCATGATTATTCATGTTTTCATTTCGAGTTGATACAGCCCCTCCCGAGTCCACTTCACTATTCCAAACGAGTAGAGAACTAGCAGCTTTGTTCTTTCCCGACAATTCCGATGGCCAGATCTGTCGGCTGAGATTTGTCGCGGAGAGAGTTCTTCACTGTGATTGGAGGTGTTCCTTTTCGAGGTGTTCGTCCCTCCAGCATCCAGATATTGCAGGATGCTGGAGTTGCACATCCTCTCCGTAAACCCCGCACCGTCCCGAATTTCACACCGACATGATTGTTATTATTATTATTTCTGGAGGGGCCAGTCACACCATCATGAACTGTACTTTTCCAGCTTGTTATACCACCGACATAATCGGCTCCTGTGCTTTCGGCTTAGACTGTAATACCTTCAAAGAACCAAATACCCCGTTCACCCAATTGGGCCAACGAGTATTTCAGACAGATAGGATTCGCAGTTTGAAGATAGCTTTCATGATGGCATTTCCCGATGTATCCAAGATGTTGAGAATGCGATTAACCGAAAAAGAAGTGGAAGATTTCTACACGAAGGTTGTTGAAGACACTGTGAGATATAGGGAGAAGGAAGGCGTTACTAGACCAGATTTTCTTCAGATGTTGATTGACATTAAGAACAAAACTAACGAACATACAGGTGACGTTATTATTTCATTTACTTTATGGCAAATTGATTTGTATAGTCGAATGAATGCTAGGAATGTTGAATTTTTTAAAACGTATCAGTACAACAAACTGGTGCTTGAGAGATGGTGGGGTTGATTCAAAAAGTTTGAAACTGTAACATTTCCTCTATATCTTCCCCGCCAACTTTTTCACCCCTTTTATATCCTGAAGTATAGTATATCGATTCAACTTTGCTCAGTTTTGTTTTTTTTTTAATTTTATTTGTTCCATAGTAGGATTTTTTCCTGACTTCAGTTCAAAAACATTCTAATCCAGTCATTTAAGCTTAAATTAGGTAAGAATCTCGGAATTCGAGATACCCAGCTGTAAGTCTGTAAATACTTGTATATTGACACCCTAAAAGTTATCTCAAAACATACATATGGTAGGGTGTAAGCAACTATTAAATTTCAAGGTCAAAGGTCACAAAAATCGGTTTTTTGCGCTTTTTTTGGAAATATCTCATTTCCTATGGGTTTTTTGCTATTTGTATTTTTTTTTGTATCTGGGAGCAGTGCTTGATTTAAAATTGGAAAGTTATCGTAGTAGATTCGTTTGCCGACTCTGAAGATTGCTGTTGGTTGTCTGCGGTTGGAATATTCAAGATTATGGATGGTTTTTTCTCTTTGTATTTGTGCCCCTGAATTTATGATTGAGGTCCATTAATATTTTCATGGCGGGGTGTGATACTGAATTTGCCATGGAGCCGTCGCTATTGTACCCTTTTATTAACTGATCTTTTTAGATTCGAATATACACATTGACTGGATAGGTCATCTTTTCCATCTTTGGTGTTTTATTGTTATTGATTTTTATCTCAAATTTTCTGAGTAGACGTTCTACTCTATAAAGCTAGTAACAAGTAGAGAAAGCCTTCTTGGTGTGTCTTGCATATTTTCTTGGTGTCTTGGTCGATTTTAATGCTTAAGAGGAAGCCCTTGGATCATACCCTTTCGCTAATAATTTTTCTGAAAGACGTGTTGATTCTTATCCAAAGAAATTGGATCGCAAACTACCCTATCCCTCCTCGACTGGTCAAATCTTCCACCCTGTGTGGTGATTCGACAATTAATTGACTTCGCTTCAGGCCTATGCTTTACAAATAGACCAACTCAACATTTCTTTTTCTTCAGGCGATGGAACTAGCTTAACAATGGACGAAATCGTTGCCCAGAGTTTTGTTTTTTTCATTGCCGGATTCGAAACGAGTTCAACCACAATGACTTTCGCACTGTATCAGTTAGCTACTCATCCCGTAATTCAAGAGAAAGTTAGGAGCGAAATAAACTCTGTGCTGGAAAAACACAACAACCAAATCACGTATGATGCCCTGAATGAGTTGAAGTATATGGGACAGGTAATCGATGGTAAGTTGGACAAACAATATTACTTTCAGCTAAATTTTCAAAACGGGCTTTTGTGTCAACTCGTGTTGTTTCACAAGTAACTCAGCTTTTCAATACTTTCAAAATATTCAAAAGTCACATGTAATGTAAAATTGATAAATCATGTTCATTATCAACTTTAGTAATGGTAAAGACCCAACACTTTATATTGGTCAAACAGGGAGGACATTTTTCCAAAGGCTGAAAGAACATAGGACTAGTTTTTTGAATCTGAAGTCCGATTCAACAAATTATTGAAAATCTCACACAATAAAATGTTACTCAAATAAATCTACAGTAAATTTTTGATTTTAGAGACTTTGAGAATGTATCCAGCTCTTCCGATAGTCACCAGACGATGCCTGAAAGACTACCGAATACCTGATTCGGATGTTATTATAGAAAAAGGCGTTAGAGTTTTCATTCCTATCAAAGCAATCCATTACGATCCAGAGTATTATGAAAATCCTGAAGTTTTCGACCCCGACAGATTCAGCGAGGAAAACATTCAAGGAAGGCATCCTTACGCTCATATTCCTTTCGGCGAGGGACCCAGGATATGTATAGGTAAGGTTTATAATTGGCTTCAAAGCAGGTTGCACCATAGTTCAGTTTTCTTGACCAGAAGTCGAATGAGGACTTTGTTCAACTGGACATTTTCAGTGATACCGTCTGACCTGTACAGGAATCTTGCTGGATATATAACATATTTTGTTCCGCATGCAATTAGGGTTGTACTTTCATTGTTTGCCTCTTGTGATCCAAAGCCTCACGTTCCTATTAGTTATGACAAGTTGTCTATGAACCGTTCTTGCATTGCCTGCAGCTAAGGTGTTCGTTGTACAGCCCTATCTTGTTCAGGTGTGAACTTAGTCAACAGTGTCTAGTGGTAACCCTGTGATCATTCTGAGCTGATCCCTGCTATGTTGAAGCAGTTATTCAGTTATTTTCTTGGGCTCTCTTTTTATAAAGGTTATCCCATGTGTGTCGGTGTAAGTTTTTCCAGAACTCTTTATGTTTCTCACAAACTCATTTTCCAATCTGGTGTTCCGTAACCCACAGCTGGTTCAGGACTTTTATATGGAGTGTCTGGCACAGTCGTCAGATTTTTTGTTGCCTATGATACCTGTATGGCCTGGCATCTAGTTTATAGTCAATCTATTCCTATTCGCAGTTTCCTCAGTTCCTCCAAAGTTTGTCAAATCTGTCCATATATAGATGGAATGGTCGGAGTCACTTCCTTCATGAGATCTCGTCACCAATTCAAACTCAACCAAATAAATGCAGTCCAAATATCTTCATCTGAACTGTTTGCTGTGAAGGTCTCGACCACCGGGCAACTAATTTTTGCATGGCCAATCGTCTGGAAGTCATTACATATAATAAATGGATTTGTTTGGATCACAGATCCTCCAACATGTCCATAGGAATAGTCTGGCTTCCGAAGTAGTTCCAAACAGTGCATCACAAGAATATATACGTAGGTTATTCTTCATCCAAATGATGAATTACTTTGCTATTTGATCTATAATCAATACCATGACAAATATATCTTTCATGACATAACATTTCAGGGTTGAGATTCGGTGTGATGCAGTCTAAAGTTGGTCTCGTTAGTATTCTCAAGAATTTCAGAGTGAAACTCAGTAGCAAAACTAAATTACCTCTGAAAATTGCCGTCAACTCATTTATTCCCACAACAGAAGGAGGGATGTGGCTGAACCTGGAGAGAATTGCGAAATAATGTAACACAGAATTCGCACAATCAGGTTTTAAAGGTGTTTTTATTATTGGGTTACTATTATTGAGATTTTTTTCATTCGAACCTTTTGTACCAGAATAAAACATATACATGAAGAAAAATGTTTTTCTGTATTCATATTCCCAATTACGAAATAATCAAAGATCATTGTGAGATCATTGTGTATTTCCTCTCAACTACCTCTAACTCTGTAACAGAATATAACAATACTTTCATTACTACTTTTAATAAGGGCAGAATGGAAATGCACGCATTTATATACAAATGAACGCGCTAAAAATGGTAAGGTATAAATAAAATGGTGTTTCTATTCTTCATCTTTTAATAGCACAAACATTATTGGTACTTTGCGAGGAATCCATTTCTTGTACGATGCCAAAAATAGCAAAAAAGGTGATGGTGAGTATGATCCGGCAACACTGGGAGGTACGGCGTGCTGCGTACCTGAACCAAGAAGCCTATACACTGGTGTAGCGACTCATACGTATAGAATTTTCATTAAAATCTGCCGAACAGTTAGGCTGATTTGATTTCATTTACGTGGTACACTTTTTAAAAAAACGTGTTAATATCGCTGTGACGGAACAGCGTTGCATATTCCACAACGTGTTCATTTAATTGAGAGGTGCATGTGAATTGACATGACATTGACATAAAATACTATTTTAGGTTATGTATGCAAATGCATGATAATTTACAGTTTACGTCTGTAACCCATTAAGGTGATTGAATTGTTATTGTTTCACGAAATCGCAAGTGATTTTTAATACGACAGTGAACAGAACTAGCAAATAAAATTTGTGGCAATCCCTCACAATGAGAATTATCAGTATTTGTCGTAAAGAGAGTCGTTAATAAACAACGGTTTTCATAAACAACAATTGTATATCTGTATCTGTAGAGTAGGGAGGGTGAGTGTAAGCCCACAGCACCTAGGCCAAGTGTGACCCATTGTACATCCTCCCAAGGAGTTGTCCTCCTAGGTCATCGTCCATCCCGTCCTTTCCAGGAAGGTGGACAGGTCACTTAGAGACATCTCCTTTATATCGGCAGGTGTAGGCCAAGACTCGCCGAACACACACTCTCTTATTAACAATAACTCTGGGGACTCACAAAGGACATGCCTGACAGTCTCATCTTCCTGTTCACACATCCTGCAAAGATATGTGTCCACTAGCCCCATATTATGGAGGTGTTTCCTAAGTTGATAGTGAATATCTCCCGCAAAAATCAATTTGATAGTCTGTTTTATTTACAATGGGTGCATTTGTAAAATGTTCGTTTAACAAGTTCAAGTTTTTCATTTCTGAAGGTATGGCAGGAGTACTTTTATCACGAAGTATACTGAGCGATCTCCAGGTAGCCCTAGTGTTTGACTTTCTCAAGACATGATTCAAATATGCAGCATTTTCACGTCGAATTGCATTACCAACATAATTACGGAGATATTTATAATAATCCCAAGCGCCGGGTGTCCTAAGTCTCTTAAATCTTTGAAAAGCTTTATTCTTGAGCTTGAGCATCTGTTTGATATTGTAAGTGATCCAGGGAGAAGGCGGCTTGGTTGCTCGTATAGTACGGTGAGGAGCATGAATATTGAAGAGATGTATCAAATTGGTATTCCAGAAAAATAGCATATCCTCAGCATTGTCCATTGTATACATTGTCTGATTGTAGCCTCTGATTGTTCGAGAGTGAAAGTTTCTATTACTTGCTAGTATTTTAGTGTTTTCGTAATTGATATTGCGTCGTGTCGCCAACACGTGTTGGAAGAGAGAAGACGTGGTAACTTTTCCCTTCTCTGCTAGTTTGTGTTTATCTTTGCGTAAGTTGATTCGCCTGTTGGTATATATAGGCATTTGTTCATTCCTCACAGTTAACCGTTTGCCATTTTGTGTGGTGTTTGTATCAGAACCGTGAGTCTACGATTTCCTTTTTTTGAATTAGTTGTTTGAGTAATTAATCCATCGTTCTGGTTATTTGACTAAATTTAATAGCCCTTCGTCAAACGCTGATCCTAAAGGTTTCATTTACCCCTTGCAAAACTCTGAAAATATTTAAAAAAATGTACAGTGCGGGAGAGAAACAAATCAAATATTTTCTAAACACTTTTGTTGAGAAAATAGTATATTATTCAACGATTGTGTTATGATCACACAAAGTATTAATGGTTTATGCAGGGGTATTAATAACCATCACATGAGGGGTGCATACGCTATTTTTTTACAATCGATAAATAATGAAGAACTATGAATACTTTATTTATATTCGTGTTGAACACAATAATAGTAATTACTCGTATTCTTTAAAAAAATTGTACAGAATTGTAGTTAATGGTATTACTTCGAGTATTACCATGAATATCAAAAAACCATGAACAATCTATTCTTACTTATATTGAACATAACAGATGTTATCCGCTTTCTTGTGCAGTTTTAACCATTTATTCCAGGTCACTGATCTGGAAGGAGGAGAAATCCTTACATTTATGTCATAATTGCTAGTCTCATCAGAGTTCAATATTGTATTGTAATGTAGCCTTCCGCCACCGAATTGAATTTCCAGCCACCATGAAGCTTCAATGCAGTAATATCACCACCGGAATGAACTAATATGGTTGCGTTGCAGATTCGTATCAGGCATATTTGAATTTGTTGCTATTTGCTCCCCTGAATTACCAAATTTATTAATACCAATGTTTCGAATTGTGCATTTTCCATTAAAATAATTAACCGAAAAACATGGGGCGGGGCAAAATTTCAGCTGTAGATTCATATAATTTTTACTAATTTCTTAGTATTTATCAGTAATTGTAAATGTTCGCTGTAATTTTGTTACAGTTTCTACCATATTGATAATTGAGATTCTATGCCTTCGACACGCCCCAATTATTCCAAAAATCGTTGCTACCTAAAAAGAAAAAGTTGAATGGAAAGGAGGATGACCTATGCTAGTTTTCAGACGAAAGGGTTTCCTAAAGAAATATGGTTTTGACGTATCGTATATTGTTTGAAGATATGTGTTAGCACACGTTTTTTCAATTAGGAATCAAGAGTTGCCTAAGTAACCGTGAACAATGTACTAAAATCGAAGACTGTATGAGCCCTACCCGAATAATTGAATTAGGTGTTCCACAAGGTACCGTCCTTGGACCTATACTCTATAACATACCTATATTTGAACGACCTATTCAAATTAAATGTAGAGGGAAATGTGATGAGCTTTGCTGATGACACATCAGTTCTCTACAAAGCCAAAAGTTGGGAAGAATTGAAAACTCTAGTAGACTGGGACTTCGGAACTATCCTTGAATAGTTTGACGGGCAGCTACTAACAGTAAATACAGACAAAACATACTTCACTCCCCCTTCACTTCTTACTCCAAAAATTTGCCCAATTTTGACACCATAAAGATCAAACAAACTATTGAAGTTGTTAGTTTTGAAAGGGCAGATATTTGCAGATACTTAGGAATTCACCTAGATTGTAACTCGAAATGGAAAGTAAAAATAAATTACGTAGAGAAGAAACTGTGAAGTATTCTATAGAGGTTGAAACACTATAAAGATCAAACAAACTATTGAAGTTGTTAGTTTTGAAAGGGCAGACATTTGCAGATACTTAGGAATTCACCTAGATTGTAACTCGAAATGGAAAGTAAAAATAAATTACGTAGAGAAGAAACTGTGAAGTATTCTATAGAGGTTGAAACACTATTCCAAAATACCTACCAAAGGCCAAATGAAAATATTATATTATGCGCTGATCGCAACTATGGAATCATTGCTTGGGGTGCGCCAATAAAACGTTTCTCAAACACCTGGAAAAAATTCTGAAAATGATTCCCAAAGTCATTTTTATAAAACCATATACTCACCCAACTGAACAAATTTTTAATGAGTCGTAAATCTCAGATGTTCGACAATTATATTTCATAAAAAAACACTGCAAAGAAGTTTTCTTTACTTAGGTCCAAAACTTCATAATGCTTTACAAAAAAATGAAAAAAATATCCTGAACTCAAAACTTTTCAAACGGGAAACTAAGTCAGGGGTTCTTCAAATCCCCTACCTCCAAATCCATAGATATGTTGATGTAAAAAATATTTATTACTTTTAAAAATCATTCGTTTCTTTTAATACGCTTCACTGTGATAAATAAATTTGAATCTGTTTCAGAAAATTATTATTCCTTTTGTGATTATGTGTTTCTTATGTATGTACTTATATATTTGTATTTTAATATTCATATAATTCACAAAAAGGATTTGAAGCTTTATAACTCCTATTCAATTATTTGCGAGCGCTTTCGACAGCTGGTCTTGCTGTCATCATCAAGGCTCTACTCAGCCCGACCAGCTGTCGAAAGCGCTCACATATAATTGAACAGGAGTTATAAAGCTCCAAATCCTTTTTGTAACTTATATTAAAATTGAAATACTGAAAATAAAGGAAAATTAGTTGATCATTCAAAATTCTATATTTGTGTATACTCGTATGTTTATAAATGTCTAATGTCTAGCTTGCAGTTGAGCAGCTCAAGCTGAAGGTTTACCTTTTGCAATGCAACTTAATTCATTTGCAACACATTACTTCTCGCATAACATTCTCATTACATAAATTATTATTATTATTTCTTTTCCAATTGTTGAATATCCTTACTATTATTATTCCGTTGTGATGCGTTAGACTGAATATTCATTTTTGAATTTCAGAACAATCATGGTTTTTTTCACTGACAACTTACTTCTGGATTTATTTGGCGTACTCGTAGCTTTATCTGCTGTACTCTTTGTTTATATCAAAAGGAGTTTTCAGTATTGGGATCGAAAAGGTGTCCCATATCTACCACCTAACATACCATGGGGAAACTTGCAGCCACCCCACTCAAGGGATATTCCAGAAGGAGATGATGTAGCAAATATTTATTATAAAGCCAAGGCAAAAGGCAAGTATACCTTATATTGGAACTGTATTTGTTCAAATGTGAATGATGGTTGAAGATGTTAATTGTAAACGCCCTCTTTCATACCGTTTTTTGGGGAAGAAATTCTCAGAATGACACCTTGTATTTTAATGGAGAAGTAGAAAAAAGGTGGTTA